CTGTAAACCTCTTTGCTTTTTAATCACCCTGATCTTTTCACAGACTTTAGGAGTGTATCCTCCTGGCAGCTTCTTCAGTGAAAATCTTTAAATATCCCCTGTCACACGTGAAAGACAGCAATGTTATTAGGGAATGGGCATCGGCAACTAAACTGAATAACTTTTGGGTCAGGGATCCAGTTGATCTCTAAAGAAATCAAGTGAAAAGAAAATTAGCAACACAGGCCCAGTCAGAGCTCTCCTCTACCAAAAAGGAAAGGAACCAGGGAGGACTGGTGAAGTCTTGCTTCTCAATCCCGATGACCTGCCTGCATTTTAATCATTACCTCTAAAACCTACCTCACCTCATCAATGCCACTGCTCAGCAAATAGTCTAAGCATTAACAGCAGTACAAACACTAACAATGGTACCAGGTGATTTTGGTGAAGCAACCATACTTTGTGCACCTGGAGATAACAGCACTCCTAAGCCTTGGGGTTAGAAACCATAAAGCTTGCCTTTCATGTTCTGTACATTTACATTTAGAATTATTTTTACTTCTGCTTTTTGACCTTTTTATTTAATTCCCTCCTACAGTAGGTTTAACAGAAAGTTTCCAATCCCCCATCTTTCTTAAAGATACAGTAACAAAAAACAGCTAAAATACAGCTAAAAAAACTTTTGAAACTATGTACAGATAAAGAGATGAGGCAGTAATATGCCAATCATAAGTGCATATGGAATTCTGCTGCTGACACTGGTATTACGTTGACTGATGTTAAAATGTACAGTATAAGAAGCAAAATCAATGGGAAACCAATTCAATGTGAAATAAAAAATAAAAAATCATGGAGCCATTTAAGAATAAAAGCTCAACTTGCTTTAAATGTAAACCAGCAGAAGATGACATCTACACCAGAACCTGCACTACCAGTATTTACAAATGTAAAAGACTGAAAACAAAGTAGTGACAACCCACAACATTTTGAACAATGTCCTAATTAAGCACTGGAATAGTGAAGTCCAAATTGTGTTTTTCACAATTACATTTGTGGGAACATGGTTTATCTTGGTGTCACCTGGCCATAAAACCTAATTTTATGAGGAGTAAGAAAGGGACAACAGACTCTCCTAAGAAGATTCACTAAATCATGGTGGAGGTTGTGTCATGAATTAGACCTGCACTTCTGCCTCCAGAATTGGCTGCCTTATCTTTACTGACTACACTAATGGTGGCAATTCTGACATTTACAAACATTTTAACTGCTTATGCAGAAGAAAAGCCTTCCGTGTGCATTGGTCAGTGCTTCACCATGCAACATGACGATTATCCAAAACATATGGCCAAAGCAACCAGGGAGTTCAGGAGAAAATACAAACGGAAAATCTTAGACTGGCCAAGTCTATCTCCAGACTTAAATCCAATTGAGCATGCTGAAGAAAACATTAGTCAGAACACCCCAAGAATAGACAGTAACTCAATGTGTCTGCTGTAGAAGCTTGGCAAAGTATCTCAAATGATTACAAAAAGAGCTGAATCGGTTGCAGACTTCATGAAGTTATTGCATGAAAGACATATGCAAGCAAAATATTGACTTTTGTAACGTTTACTCCCAATACTTTCAGTAACTTGAAATCACTGGAACCTGTCTTGTTTCTAATATAATCAAACATACTCATTAAATTATCCAAAAATAAATATACATATTCATATTAAGCTCATGATCACAAATAAAAAACGCTTGTTTGTTTCCGACATGGCTGTCCCAGTACTTTTGGAAGGCTCTGCTTGTGTGATATACAGTATGCTGCCATAAAAAAAAACTAAAAAAAAAATTGAAAACAAACAGTCAAAGACTGTGATTTTCAGGGACACCTTCAATGGAGTGAAAACAGCCTCTGTGGATAAAGCAACAAATGCAATTTTTTCTGCGGTTTCTTGGTCAGTCACAAGTGTGACAACCTCTACACCAAATCTGTTTTGAGTGACGTCTTCCTTCTGGGGACCCAGCAGGTACAAGAGCTTAAACTATTGTGTCCCTTACCATCCCTGTATTTATTATGGCACATCTTTGAGGAAATGGGATGTTCCGGTGGTTTCACAAACCATAATCATCATTAATCTTAGACTGTATATTAAAATGCTACTTTTTTGCAAGCAAAAATAAGATTGTTGCTATAAGGGGTCTGGAAACCTGTTTTCTATGATGCCAACTTTATAGTTTTATAAAAAGTTCCTTTCATTAATTTGTAGTTCAACAATTTGGAGAACTGAAATTAAATTAATTGGACTAAAGATATACTGGATTAAATTGTATCATATTGTCCACCTGTCCTCATTTGGAAAAAAGAAATTGGAAATGTTCCAGAATCTGATACAAAACCCAAACTTAAATAATAGCCGAGCTTAATTTTTTTCTTGTTATGCATTATTACACAATATTCATTTTAGCTAAACAGCACACAGTGTTTCGTCTGTCTGCATCAAGCACCATTTCCCTTTGGTCATATTCTAACACACCAACAAGTGACAAATTATGTCTAGAAGGAACTAATTACAGAAATATAAACATAACTCAAAACCTATCATTTTTTTCTTGTACTAGCAGCCATGTTACAAGGTCTTAACAAAACCATTCTGCCCTGTCAAATCTGATCTGTGCCCCCTTTTGTTCAAAAGCACAAAACTTTAGCAAGCTCCAGTTCACGGCAATCTCAATTTATAGCAACAGCTGCGCTTTCATGCCCTGACCACAGCAGAGCTGGTTCAAAGACAGAGACAACAATGCACCCTTATCATGTTTAAGGACACCGTATCACAAGTAAAATAGCTCCAGATTTCCCTGAGCAACACTGCTCCCATTCCATTGTTTAAAACGAAACAAGGAAGTGTTATTCAAGTTTTCAGAGTCCCTCCCCCCAACAAAAAAATAATTTAGAAATATAATTTAGTAACTATTTTGAATGTAAATGGTCTTGGATGAAAAATAATAATTCCAGAGCTTGAAAGCAAAACAGCCTTTTTCATCTTTTGCAATCCTCACTGCACACTTCACACACCTAGCAATGAAGTAAATGGGCTAGTTAACACTGCTCTTTACTCAGAATTACATCCATCCATTTTCTACATTCCAATTCAGGGTCACAGGGGAAATGAAGCCAGATCTGGCAAGAAACAAGTGCAAGGGGGGTTAACCATGGATGGGACACCAGTCCATAGCAAAAATCATGCCAATGTATATATACGTACAGTATCTAAGCACAAACAAGATTCTGTACAGCTCATACGGGATCCATAATTATCTACAACATGATACAGAATTAGATTCATTTACTTTGATAATTACACCCACAGTTATCATGGCATAAGAAAAGCCATCAGTGAGAACAGGCCATGTGGTACTCTGAACTTTATTTGGTTTATTTTTTCTAGAGCAACCTTACCAGTGTAGGTGTAAGCAAATCAAAACTACAAACTACCCTGCTTGTCTTTGAAAGATGGGAAGAAATCACAGCATCATGGGAAAACTAGGTGAACCTGCAAACTCCACACAGGACTTGTAATCAATCCCAGCACCCTGGAGTTCAGGCACTAGGTACCAGCCACCATGCTGTATAGTGACTATATATTTGAAATTTCACTGCATCAACAGCATATGGCTTCTATGGAAATAGAGTTACAAATTAATTAGCTAAGTCCTAGATTGTTCAAAAACACCTGGTGGACACCACTTGTCCTTAGTCACGGGAAAGATGTGAGAATTTAAGACCGTTCTGACAAAATATAAGTTCAAAAGACCAATCAACGATCAAACATGCTTAGCACTGAATGAGTGTTAAAGAACAAGTGACAACTGGACACTTCTCTAAGATACATACCCGAAATCTAAATACCAGAGAAACGATGACACCTTCAGTTCATTGTCAGTTGTGTGCTTCTGTTGAGTATTATAGGCTTGTTTTTCAAAATGAAATCACAAACTGGAAATCAGTTCATTTGAACCATGGAACACAACGAATATTATCTAGATTGCAAATATCCAGTATGTGAAATATCCATCACAGAAATTTGGCAAGCAGGTTACCACGAAGTGGGTCCACTGGAGTATAAGATGGTGTAAGGTCAAACTTTTTGGGACTGTCTCAGTAATGCAAAAGGCTTGTGAAAAAAATCGAATTCTGCACAAGTCATATAACGTGCAAGCCAAGCAATTCAGACACTATACAAGTGTGTTCATATTAAGACCAATAAAATTTTTTCAGAAGAAATGAGAAACCAGGAGTATACCACAGTATCATAGGCATTATATAAATCGTGTGATTTTTGTTGAAAGCCATTATAATATTATCAAGAACTATTCAGGTTGCAGTAAAACATCCTCAGACAGAAATATTACATACCAGACTACACATTAGATTAAATGTAATTTATGTCTAAAACATAAAAAGTAGCTTAATGGATTGTAAAAAAGGTGTCTATAAACTTTGAAAGGCAAGGCCTTTGGATGGATAGAGGTCTGTAGCAGTTAGGAGCTGATGTATCACCCCGTTTGAAAAGAGGCAAAACGAGGGCAAAAGAGCAAATGAGAGGGTAATTTGTGTTCTATAAATTTAACATACCTTCCAGATTCTGTTAGGAGTATTTAAGAGGTTAGAGAATTGATGGTTGCAATAGTTCATTTTTGAGCTTCTCGTGGCTTGTGAGTATTTTTAATTTGTCTGAAGGAAAGTCAATCAGTTTATTTTACAATCCTTAACAGTTTGCCAAGATAAATTATTTTTCTCTAAGTTAACAGCGCAGGGCAAATTTAGTTTTTTTTAACTCTAAACCTTAGAACTGGTGCATACTCGTTATTAACGTTGCTAAACATATATTTCAAAATACTTTATAATCTATAATTCTTGAACAATATCAAGATGAGACGGAGATACTCTCAGACAGAGGTCAGTAAACGCATACAAATTTTGGAATGCATTTTTTTTTAAAAGATGAATGCATTAACGAATGTCCACATCCTACCTCGTAATGAGAACAGCGTTATCATGGTGAGCGATCCCATTTTCTGGAATGCTGTTCCCGTCACCTTGGTGTGAGAGGATAGATTTCTGCCATTTACAGAAGCTGTCCAAAGACTTGTCTGCATGGTGGTTTATCTCCAGGTTTGGCTGAAACAGAACCCACAGAACAGGTAGAGTTAATAAGCAGTGCAATGTTCCCAGTCATTAAGTTTCCCAAGGCAACTAGAGGATATTTACAGAATGAATGGTTTTAGGAGAGCAATCCCTGTTTACCTCAGGCTTAGTGTTCTAGACTTCAGATTGCTAACCGAGTCTAAACATTTGTGCATAGTTAACTCAACAAAAATAACCTAAACTTAAAGGAAAGCATTAATTTAAATAACAACACATGTTTCATTTTGTTGTCCACTTCTCAACATCACCTCTGTTCTTAAGTCAAATGCTAGCAGCTGTATCATCCTGCAACTCACCACCGAAGCTAAGTAGGTGTGAGCCTGGTAAGTATCTGGATGGGAGAGCTCTTGGGAAAGCTAAGGTTGCTGCTGGAAGAGATGTCAATAGGGCCAGCAGGGGGTGCTCACCCTGAGATTTGTGTGGGTCCCAATGCTCCAGTATAGTGATGGGGACACTACAGTATAAAAAAGGCTCGAAAAGAGTAGGGTTACTACCCCAATGTCCTGGCCACATTTCCCATTGGCCTTTACCACTCATGGCCTCCTAGTCATCCACATCTATCAATTTGGCTTCATTACTCTGTTCTCCTCCCCACTCACAGCTGGTGTATGGTGAGCAGACTGTTCACACTTTGGTAGCTGTCACATCATCCAGGTGGATGCAGAACATTGGTGGTGGAGAGGAGTCCCCATGTAAAGCGCTTTGAATGGAGTGTCCAGAAAAGCTCTATATAGGTGTAAGTTATTATTATTATTATTATTATTATTATTATTATTATTATATGTCCTGTATTGATTGGGCCGAGAAGCCACTAGGCTAATGGAGGATGCAGGCCAAATCCAAGGAAGGAGACAATAACCCTTCTGCACCTTCGCTCCAGATTGGCCCCTCACACATAAAGAGAAGATATTTAACCGTAGATATGCTCCTTTGGTCAAAGCCATAACTTTTCCAGCATAAAACCAACTTTGGTCTGCATAAGTATAGAAGTGAAATGCATGTACTACAACACAGGCATCCTAGTCACACTCCCTGGAGGATCTGGTGTTTTATGTTCTCACTTACCCTGTTGGCATAATTAAGTGTAGAAATATTGTATGTCTAACCAAGCGTTTTGGTACAGTTACCTACAAAACACCACCAGTATTTGGTATATGTATACAGTATGTGAGTATTTTGAGCACTCCAGAGTAAAAGTACCTTTCCATCATTCAACGTTCAATGACCACTTTATCCTCAAAAAGACTGCAGTCGACCTATACTACATGACCTGATAGCTACAGGACAGGAGCAAGGCAAGGACTACGACCTGAAGAGGATACCATTACAGGTCACACAAGCAAGTTCAATTCAGAGATGCCAATTAACAGCCTTTAGACTTTGGGACCAAAGCCCAACGACTGATTCAGTAAGCGACTGATTCCACATTATACAAGAAAACCTATTTGCTTTGGATGGTATGCAAAGCCTATATTAATGCCTACTCCATGAAACAACTTTCAACTGTCCTGTAAAAACAATAAAAGTGCCCAAAAATAGATACTAGAAATCATGGGTAAATCTCAGGTAAGTTCATTAGTATTTTTTATGCAACATTTACATCTCTCTTTAGTGGAGATAACCATGTTAGCAACTGAAGCAATCCTCACAGGTTTTTATTTCCAGATGGGATTCAATGTGGATAAATAGGTCAAACACATATTGGAGATGTGGGACTAGTTGATTCTGCCCATGGGATTTCAGTTTGAACTGAGCAGAACTTTCTGGGACAGAGGTCAGTGAAGTACTCACCCAGCATGAGTCCAGGCTCCAGATCGAGCTGAAAACAATGTGCATCTGTGTACACATAAACACTTTTAGCTAAAATGGCATTAATGAAATATGTTGGAGGTAAGGAAAGCTTGGGATCCATTGTAACACCACAAACACCTCAAAAAAGTTTAATGGTGTATTTCCACCTCCACAGAGTTTCTGAGTTCCCAAAGTGTTTTGTTGATGTCACTTTTAAATACCTCAAACTTAAGATATTTGTTTCAGCAAAATTGTGTTCATCCTTAAACTGTTTATTTAAAATCACAGGTTTTGGAGTGAACGCTTGAGTAGGAGATAATGTTTTTAACTAGTTCTAGTCTAGTTCTGAATGAAAATCCTAGTTTTCTCTTACACATAAAAAACTATTAACCTCGAACAAACTGAAAACAAAGGATCACAAACATATAAAAAGAGTTTTGGGCATCGGGTCCTTGGAATAAGTGAATCACAGTGACCTTACCTGGTCCTCAGTGAGAACGATCAGGCGGGTGACAATAATGTTCACAACGTTTCCTAGACTGGAATCACGGTAAAGTTTGGCAACCTGACCTCCAGAAAAGAAGAAAAGACACAAAGTCAGACAAAATAAACACTGCACTGTTTGGCAATTTTACCCTTCTAGGAAATTACATTATGAAGTTGTAGTAGACTGACAAAGCCAAGGTCAGAACTCCCATTTCTTAATGTATCTCCATTATACAACAAAATCAGATGCCTTTTAAATATCCAAAGGTAATTCACTTTTAAATTATTTCAACCAGGATCTGCACAAAAAGGAGTAGAAATGGCCTCTGCATTCTCTTCATTACTACTTCACTATTATCACTTTCAGAAAGAATAAGCAAGCAACCCCTTTAGCTTATTCAGTAAAGTCCGACAAAGATGTCTGTATAAGAAAGTGTTCGCAGTTCTCATGGTAGCGGTCTCTGGAACCACACTAACTTGAGTCAGCTTGCTAAGGAGCCAGTGAAAAGCGGGATCAAACTTACAATATTCATTACAGACAGAATGTAATGCTCGATGTCCTTGCGCCCGTGGTATCCCACCATCATTTTGTCGGCTACCACCAGGGTCTCCACAAACCTCTCCGAGCTTACGGATCTCTTCCGCCGATGGGCAGTCCTGGCCGCACTGTTGTTAGTTGGGGTGGGGGCTGCAAAGGCTGGGGAACTGCCCTGCCACCAGGGCTTCTCGCTTCTTGTGAGGTCTGAAAGGCGTAAGGATAGCGTTTAGTTGGGTAACCTGGTTGATGTGCGCTGTTCCGTACCTGCTGTGCATCTGTTCAGCACGTCTTGTTCTAAATATCCTGCAGTTAAAACAGTACAGACCAACACACATTGTTCAGAGCACACTAATTATACAACTTCAAAGCTGGCTATAAACCAATGGTCCTTTATTCGGTGCCGAGATATTTATCTGGTGAGCTGCCTACCTTCTGTCATTGTCTCATTTCTTCTTCTTAGTAGCCTGTGTTTATTAACTGAAACATTAAAGGTCCAATTTCTTAGGTACCCATTATCCTCTATGTTGCCAATGTTCAACTGCTCATACTAAATACAAAGGACGCTGGATTTAACACTGTCTTTTCTGCACCAGTCTTTGGTTTTTAACTACCAACGCAAAACTTTTGGTGCCTCAGTGCCTCTGGGATGTTTATTCTTTATGTGTATTTGATTATTTTTTTTCCATACGAAGGAATTTTCAGATTCAGAAAAAATCAGAAATGAGACAAGCTCATTTTTTTTTACAAACTTTATCCCCACCCCCAAGTTAGTGGTTATTGCAGTAGGTGAGGAACACAATTCAAATAAAGTTTTAAATTTGTTAAAGGTGCATTATCAAGCTTTTATTTTAAAAGATCTACATATTTGCAACCTTCATTTACTCACGCCTTAGAAATGACAAGCTTTTACTTACAGACAAATGTGCAAATAAATCTAATTTCAATACCAGCAGCCAAAACATTATCGTACAAGATACTCTTCATTTTTATTTGGTTTTGAAGAAATTCATATCAGAATAAAATGACATTGTTGATTAAAAACAGCTACATATTCAAGATGCCTTCAAAACCAATGCCTTGGCCTTCGCAACAAGCAATGTCAAGCAGTCATATGCCGTTATTTAGCGAATTATTTTCAAGATGTACACAATCTGGTTGATATTTAAACAGTAAGTTAAATATCTGACAATTCCAAAGCTGACAGATGACACAGCAATGGCTTGAGTAAGTGATATATTTTCATCTGAGCAACAAAAAAAGGGGTAAGTTACATCATTTCCCCTCCCAGTTTTCTGCTCCCATAGCGTAGTACTTCTGAAGAAGCTCCTGCAACTTTGAATAATAAATGAAATGAAGAGCTCTTTAGAAAGAGTTTTCAAAATATTAATTGCAAATTTTGAATTAGTTTTAATTTTTGGGATTTTTGTTGTTATTTTATAATGTTCATTTGTCTTTGATTTACTTAATAATCCCTGAAGTCTCACTATTTGTAGGCTAGTGGTTGCTTCAAACACACATATCAGAACACAGCAAGCCTCCTCAGAGCCCCAAAGTATGAAAGGCATCCATGTAAAAGCTGCCCTCTTGAGCCAAAGTGCGACAGCCTGTTTGTAGTCCAGATGTGCTAGCAGCCCCATTAGACGGTACAAGTTGTAACAGGTTTGTGACATGCAGATGGCTAATCCACTGAAAAAAAGATGTAGAAATGGAACACAACGGCCCACATAAAAAAACTTCAGGAAAACTGTAACACCTCCTTAGATGCAATTTACAGCCGAATTTAAAGACTTCTGTACTTAACTATTGAGATACGAGTTTGAGCTCCTTGGAGGCATGTGCTTGGGTTATATCCCAAAACAGTACTTATTCAAATATTTGTGTCTGCATGTGTGGTTCAGTTAAAGAGGGGAAGTGGGGGCAATGCATTGCTATGGCAAAACAAGAAGAAATAACTTCACAATGACAGTAACTCTTGAAAAGAGAGAATATGGGGGACAACTGCACAATGTACACGCATGTATTATAATAATAATAATAATAATAATAATAATAATAATTGCTTACACTTATATAGCGCTTTTCTGGACACTCCACTCAAAGCGCTTTACAGGTAATGGGGTTTCCCCTCCACCACCACCAATGTGCAGCATCCACCTGGATGATGCGGCGGCAGCCATAGTGCGCCAGAACGCTCACCCCACATCAGCTATCAGTGGGGAGGAGAGCAGAGTAATGTAGCAAATTCATAGATGGGGATTATTAGGAGGCCATGATTGGTAAGGAAATTTGGCCAGGACGCCAGGGTTACACCCCTACTCTTTTCGAGAGACGCCCTGGGATTTTTAATGACCACAGAGAGTCAGGACCTCGGTTTTACATATATATATTCCCTTTGGCTTTCCGGATGCCAACGACAACTCCACTAAGAAAGTAAGTCGGAGATAAGCACTTCTATGATAGCTCCGCGCGGCCGTTTCGTCAAATGAGACTAGAGCATGCTGTTCACTCCCATCACCACAGTTGAAGACGGAGGAGTTCAGTTACCTGAAACGCCACAGCTGGACTCCTCATTGTGTCCATGTTGCCGGGGAATGGAAGATTTTTTATAAATAACATGTGGTTGTCCTTCTTCAAAGTTTAGATCACTGGAATTTTTGGAGGGTATATTCTTTAATGGCTCAATTAAATATTGCTCTTCCTCTGTTGTAATAACACCATGCTTGTTGGAAAATAAGAATAATGAGAAAACAGGTAATGGAGAATTAAATGTGCAAGAAGGAAGCACAGCAATATCAGTAACTGCTTGGTTCTGTCATGAATCAGTATTCACAATGAAATCTACATTTGTAAATTTGCTAACAATAATTTAATGTGGATTAAAATCAATGTTCTGGATGACTCTTTGCATAATCTCTTCAAAAAAGTTTTCCCTATCAAAGCTTTTGGACAGGCCAAAGTAATAGATGTTGAGTGAATAAAATAGTAAAGTAATATTTAATTGACTGTACCACCTCACACTAGAGAATTTGGAATCTTTTTCAGAGATGATTTGATAACAATTGAACAGGTGCTGAATAAAAGTTGAGGTCTGCAGATATACTTTTAAAGACGTTTCAATTACCATCTCTGAGCAATGAATTAAAATCTTTCAAATGCAGCGGTAATGATGCCTTTATATCTTCCTTTAAAATACAGGACATTGATACAGAGCATCAATTCAAATTAAAAATGAATTAACCTAGAGGAATACAACTACATTTTACTTGTTTGTATACACAAAAGAAATAAAAAGTTTATGTGCTTGATGAGGCATTTAAAATTCTTACTGAAATCAACAAGCAACAAAAACAGGATCTTAATCCTTTAGCAGTTTAAAGTGAAATAAAATAGAGCCTTATATACAATTAACTTATATTTTTCACCATGACAAGGCTGGGTCAATGTAATAATGCTTTGGATTTGGCTTTTGGAATCTTTGGAATTGTACTACTTATTTCCTCAGGGGACCTGCATTCTGGCTTTGAAGAATGGCTTTTTCTCCACTGCTATTTACACAGCTATAGTTCACAACATTTAATCGTGACTACGACGGGTTGACATTCCAGCACCTGTCATAAGAGGTTCTTTAAGATAACTGCAATCATCTGTATGACCTGTATCGTATAGTACAATGATTTTTGCATCAAAAGCACTCAAGAAGATCAACAGATCACAGAAAAAAGGGGAATAAACAATGTATGTTCAATGCAGATGTAGAGATTACTATTATTCCTGCATTTATCAATCTAATGTTCTGTGAATGTACTAATTGGTAAAACAAGAATGCCTTCATTTTTTGTTTAAAATAATGCCTGCATGCTTATCCTTAGGCAGGGCATATAGAAAGCTATGAAAATAAAAACATCTGACTAAACCAATACTTTCCTAAACGGTATGACAAGTTGTTCTTCTACTTATCCTTTATGAAATCTTTTCCTGTGTTATCATCTACCTGTTTCTCTGCACAAAATTGCATTGCGAAAGGGGCAGATCAGCTGTCCTGACAGCTGCAGAAGCTACCTCACAGCAGGCTGCACTGCCAAAAATATTATGCAGATTAGCCATGTGTTGCAGGGAGAAATCGTCTTTCCCTTATTAAAACAGAATTAAAATGACAGTATATTACAGCAAAACGCCTGTGTGTCCCTTTTACACTGGATCCTTCATGTATCTTTGGACAAGAGCGAAACAATTTATAAAACACAAAACTCAAAAATGTCTAATAATGACTCAGTGAATCAGGTTCTCTCCAATCCGTTTATACACTAAAAGACATAATGAGTACTTTGTTTGACCAAAAGCTCTTTAAACGATCAGGGAAACTGTCATAACTAACATTGTAAACTTAAAGGACATAAAGTCAATTTTACTCACCAAGCCATTGCAGTTGCTCAACGCGACCTTCGTTGTGGTATATTGATCTTGTAGGTATCCAGTATAATGGCAATTCTCTACAAAATCGTGCCGCCATTCTGGTCCATCTTTACCCCAGTATTCTACAGTAAAATGTTTAGACACTAAGTAAGGGTTCAGAGTCAGATTTAAATGAAAGTGCCTTCCATAGGCAGAGAGTCTGTAGAAGAGTCTGGGCTCTGCAGAGTGTTGGTCCACAGGCTGTGCACTCCTTCTCCACCGCAACGGCCTGTAAGGTTTCACAGTAAAGCTCATGAAGTCTCCGTTCTCATCCACTCTCACTGGGACTGTCAGCTGGTAGTGTTCAAGGTAGGATAGGAACTCCTCTTTTTTAGCAAGAGTTGAACAAGTCCGGGAAGCAAACATGAGAGAGAAAATAGGATGTAACAAGTGCTGATGCAAATATCAAGCACAACCAGTACGCACGAGGCAGGGATATCACACATACAATTCCAGCGATTCAAACATAAACAGATTACATCTATAACCCGGCTGTCCTTATGGGGACAAAATCATTTTTTACACGGACAAAGGTGCCATACGTGGCCAAGAACTCAACTGAAGCAACAATATCCTTGGTCACTGTCCTTAGTTTGTAATTAAAAAATGTAATATGTAAATAAGTAACTAACAAATTCCATAGAAGAGAAAGAAAGAAGACCTTCAAAGAATATAGCATGACCATGACTTACCTCTTCAATTTTGTTAATGGCTCCCTTTGTGCAACAACAAATCTTTTTCTTTTGTAAAGTCTAACAAAGTACGATTATCGAATTAAATAATCTGAAAATGGTTTTATGCAGTAGATGAGGAAATGAAAGGGCTGGGTAAGTGGTGAGCCACCAAGCTCAGGAATTAAAACTTGTCAGTCATCCCTCCTCTTTGCCTCACCCCTACCAAACAGGTGGAAATTGCTGACCATCTGACAGGAGGAACATGTGGCGATCAAACCGCTGCACGAAGAGGTAGAGAAACTACTGACTGCACCTTCCTGGGATGTCCACTAATAGAGCCCGCTGATGAGTGATTAAGTTACGAATTAAAACTTGGTGGAGTCCTGCATTGAACTGAATGCAAAAGGCAAGACTCCCCCCCTCCCTCCCCGTCCTCATCCCAGATTGGATTCGAACTGCGCAAATTCCTGCTTAAGAGGAGCAGGGTATAAGGGAGCTCCATCAGAAGCACCAGCACTCCTGTACTTCTTTGGATCAGACCAAGCTATGAAGTTTCAGCTGCAACAGAGCCGTATTTACATGCTTAAACAGATCGTGCTGTTTGATATAGCAAAAACCATTCACTGGAGGAGCACAGGATTTTGAGCCAGTGCCTAGCCTACACCTGTTAGGATGCGCACACACAGCTAAGAAAGCACGCTTGCAGAGCAATCCTACCTTGGGAACTGTGTGAAAGTCTGTTGTGGCTTTGAAATTCAGAAGCAGCCATGACCAGGCCCAATATCCAAGTCAGCGTCTTCCAAAAAATTTCCATAATTTAGAAAAGATCTAACTTGGGGTGGGGGGGGGATGGGGGGTGGGGGAGGTAGGGGGCTACCGTTGGGCTAAAAGGCTTTGCTTAATCCAGCATCGCACCATGAATCCATTGCTGAAGTCCTGTATAGTGTTAATTCCTCAGGTCGGTGATCCAGACGGCAATCTGCTTCTTAGATTGGGCTCTGCCAGCAGGTTCTACTCGCATTCGTGTCTGGATGCATGTCCTCTCCGCAAGACGCACAAATCAATCAATTAAAGGATTTCAAGTAATTCCAAAACAGCAGATCTATACTGGAGGTCTGTCTTGAACTATCCATCTGCGTACCTGGAAATAAATCAATGAATATTATAACTAGATAAAGGCATTTAATATCACCAGAAGAGCCCGTCTTCTGTACAGTTAGTATGTTTTCATGGAGGAAAACTCCCAGGGAAGCAACAAATGAAGTTATCTCAAACCAGAAAATGGTAGAATTCGCCGCACACACAAATAAACAGTGGTAGCTGTTAAGAAAGCCAATAAGACTTAAAAACTAGTATAAGCAAGAGTTCATCTTTACAAAATCTATTATTTATTTCTTAACATGAACCAGGGCAATGAGATTCAGTCACCTCTTTACACACACAGTTATTATTATACTGTAGGTGCTAGGTCTCACTATTCAATGTACAATTCATATAATGTCCCTGTTAAAAGGTGGTTTAGATGCTGAGATTCAGGAGCTCTTTGATGGTTTAAAAGCTGAAGTCCGGGGACGACCCCCAGACTTTCCAGCTCTAGTCAAAACAACAAATTGATTAAGTCAAAAATTCGTGCAGCAATTTCCGCAAAGCGCCTCCAGTCAATGCGGCATCTGGCGTTAACAGATTATTTCATTGAGAGGTCTTCTTACTCAGATGCTAACGCCCAGTGTGAAACTAAAAAAAAACAACAACAACAACTTGCGTTTGCGGTATGGACTGGACGTAGTAGCCAAAATTCCAAATGCCTTACATAGTTCGTGAAATGAAACGGTCAGTAGTGATCATTTGGGAAAGGTAAAAACGCTGCGGTTCCTCATCGTCATAAATAATGTTTCCAGCATATTGCGATGCTTGTCAGTTTGGAAGGCTGCCACGTTTAGAGGCTAACCTGCTGAAACCCCGGAGACATTTTTTTTGGGGAAAAAAGTGTTTCAACACTTCACATTATTCCTTCTAGCACTGATTCAACTTATACCCAATGTGCCCAGAAACAGGGTAATACGTTGTATTTTTTTTACAAAAATTAAAGACCGCTGTGCAATCTACGGTAATTTACACAGAACGAAATGCTAATGTTATATCGCTTGATAAGATTAAAAGTAATTAGAGCTATTTTTGGTTACTTACTTATGTTACTTAGTTTGGCAAGGATGTAGCGTTTAAAACTTAATTGGTAAGAAATTGGTAAGAATTTGAGTTTCGGTACTTATAAGTTACCTTTGCTTTTTCACTGACAGCGCAATTACTGTATAAAAGATCCTGAGTTAGTAGGGTAGATTCGTAGCCAATGAAATTAAGGGAGAGGTTATTCTAGTGTCAGTCACTACAGAGCTGCCTACCTACGGATAATTTACCTGTTCCCTTATAATAACCATGAAACAGATTTCAGAATTGTTTTGGATATTTACTGTTCCTTACAAAATGTATCAGAAACAGCTAAATGAACTGACCGGCTGCTTTCAAATAGTGGTACATTTACTAGCCATGATGAAGACAGCTTGGTTCCTTTAGTGACATTTTTAGTTTTTTTTTTTAGATTCTCGAGATGTTAATAAAATCCACATAACCTACTAGAAGGCTGACACACTTTCTGTCTGGCTTTAGTAAAGTTAACATCCCGCAGTCCAATTCCAGACAGCAGCGCTAAATCTATTTGGATAAAACGCGTGTGACCCAGACAGTTGGCAACAGTCCCAAATGCATTACACCGGCAGCTCAAATAAAAACAAGCATCTCTCACTACAATGAAATAAAAGGAGAAGGGCTTCTAATTCTAGTACAACTCACCTGAGGACTCTGCGTTTGATTTGGATAAATAAAAGCATGGTCAACAGACAAACAGCCCCTGTGCACACCTGCTCGCCTGCGTTAACCTGATCGCCGTCAATTGCAATGGCAAAAGTTTACAAATCAAAAAATCCCAGGTGACCCCAAGTAAATGAAAGCACAAAGATAAATCTGGTTGATTAGCCTATTAAAAGATTAGATCCTGGACTTATCAGCCTATGCTAAAGTCCACTGGACTCCAGTATTGGGTCAGATGCGAGCCTGCAGAAATCGCTGTTACACACAGAGAGAGAACAGTAATATCATCAGAAATGATTCTCGGACCACCAAGTTCTTTTAGACCTAAACCAAATGGAGGTGGGATTTTAAATACGTGTCTTTCGGTTATTTAATTTAAAACTTTTACTTTTATTTCGTTTTAATCAAAAATGGCTTGTATCAAATACATCTTCAATATAAGCACACATACAGCTGGCTACATGATGAGGACAGCAATGTCCTGTTCACTTTTGCCGGCTGATTAGAAGACGTTGCATGATAGTTACCGTTTTGATCTTCATTGTCAGAAGCATTACCTACTGAAGAGCTCACAGACAACAGAACTCGTCTGCACTGAAGTTCCGCAGTCAATTCACTGCCTTCTTCCCCCTTTCGCTTTAGAATCTTTCTCATTTATTTTCATGCCGAAAAAAGGGATGCTGGAGTGTTTCTTCTTTTTGAAGTAAAAAAATAGATGAGGAGCTTCAGAGAATCAACTGACTTTGTTGCAATTCCAAAAATACAATTCCATTAATTCATTAAAAAAAAACCTGAATAAATTTTTCTTAAGGTATTTAGTTTCTCTGTTTGTGTTTGCTTGTTTTGTTGGATGTGCAAAAAATACTTATTCCTATATCATAAAAATAATTTCAAAATACACTGAAGCAGTGCAGGCAAGACAGGAAAGTTGTGTTGAAGTAGCCCCCTTTATTACAGTACCCGGCCTATAGCCAAGTTTCGAGCTGCTCAGAATTGGCAGTTTTACACTGGGAGGTTCGGCTGACGTCAGTGCAGATGTGCTTTAGTTTAGCTGTCAGCTGTGCGCATGTTCCGATGTGAATCACGTGAAGGGGGAGGGGGGTCGGGGGGTACAAACAGGGTACGGTCTTTCTGCATAGGTACATTGCCAACTTCTAGTGAACTGGACGGGAGTTTCGTTCCCCTTCTGTACAGTTCTTTCGGTAAACGTGACACTTGTTTAATTGATGTTTCAGGCTTACCTGCCCCCCAAGAAAGTGCAGGAGACAAACGTTCACTGAGGGCAACCTTGCAAAAGGCATCGAGTTTTTACTAACAACAGCAATGTTATAGAAACAAACGTTCTCTGTCTTAAATTGCTGATTGAGGGAATCGGGGTTTCATTTCAATTTCTGTTACCTTTTCGTAGAAAACGTTCTCATGACCGCCAACGACAATGATAAATTCTACTTTAAAGCGGCATCCTAAAAGTCAGTAAAAACGAGCTTGGTCGAGGAGTGGGAAGTCACTTTAATTCTTCATATTGCCACACATTAGTGATCTTTATGGAATAGTACTTGAAATTAAACATTCCAAGGTAAAAAATCTGCCAGCTGCCAAATATTTGAAAAGTGCTTCTTTTGCTGTTGAAGTGTCCTCCCGCATCACATAAATCTCTCCTATTTTGATGCCTTGAAACGAAGAATCTATATTTTCCCCTTCTTTTTTCCATCCCACGCCGGAGGTTGTAGTTTTAATCCCTAGAAGGATATGAGCATTTGGCTAGAGCTGCGGTGATTCACAAGGTCGTGGTTGGATCATACAACAGATAATAGTCGCTGTGACTGTCATTGGGCTTTGAGCCACCTGAAGTAAAATGATCTCTGCCTTCAATATTTTGTCTTTTTTTTGTGCATTTTTTAAAAACCCCAAGTTGTATATATTGCACTCATATGTCATTTCTGTCTTTGATGTATACACACACAACATTGGTTTATTTTAAAAGGCCATAATTCACTTTTATTGTAAAACACCGAGCGGTTACTATTTTAAAATATTGCCTTTTCTGTTCCGTAAAATACAGCTAAACGAACTATATTGACATCCTGACCTACATCTAAAGTCCAGCGATATGATCTTACATCAGTCTCATACATTCTAATATATTAATGTTCGACGGATCGTTTTAAACTAAGGAACAAAAGTGCTTGTTCAGTGCGCCATCGTGTGGATAAAACTAAATATACAGTATTAAACACTGTAGAGTGGAGAGTCCCGGGTTCGAGCCCCCGACGGTGGGGGGGCCGACCTAATGCGGCAAGGGCGCCCGCCTGAACCCCCGTTGCGTTACAATATGAAAATGAAAGGGTCATTTACATTTCTCAGGTGAAGTTATTCTAAGTATCCTCATTCAGTTTTGATGTAGCAAAACAAGTAATGAAAAAGAGAATTAAGGCACAGAACCTAAACCCGGAACAATTACGAGTCTCAGAATCCATGGGTCCAATTAATTAAAAAAATATTAAAATATCCTAGTGTTAGCAGTAAGCTGTATACCACCACAGTGAGATATCAGAGATAATGAATATAATGAGTTCCAGAATGCATGCTTATAAATAATTAATTGACTATCATGGGAGATACAATGGGAAAAAATTACTAAGGTCAGCAATTCCAATGGAAATGGCAGCAATAACTAACAACTGCTTTCTTTTTCAGTTTTAAATAAATAATAAAAACCCTCCCCCATCTTTGCGTGGGCTGCAAAGGAACAAGTAAAGGTTTATTCCATGCTGAAGAGAGAAGAAAAGAAACACGTTTCGGCTGTGGAGCCTGTGTGACACCCGAAGAAGGCTCCACAACCGAAACATTGTGTTTCTTTTCTTCTCTCTTCAGCATGGAATGGACATTTAGTGTAGTCAAGTGCAGAGTACTTTTGTAGTTAGCAAAAACATTAACTATTGGTATAAAACAGGATACACTGAGCTTCAGGAAGCTATCTATGAAAAAGACTCCATTATTGTCATATACTGTATGTCATATGGGGAAACAATGGAAAAGACAAACAGAATGATAGGACATACAGTACAGTATGTAGATAAAAATCCATCAATTTATCCAAAACAAGTCATATGGGAACCAGAGCCCACCTCTGCAAGCAAGGCTAGAAGGCTAGTGTTCAGCAAGAAATAATTTTGTTAATGCATAGGAGAAAAAAAGAAGTTTATTGCAGGGATCTCTGTGTAACCTTTTCATAGAACATACATTCACAGCTCATATCCCCACTGACACCATTCGCTGACATAGTCAGTAAATCTTTAACTTGATGCAAATCTCAATCACAATGTTTTGTGTATTTGTGACATACGAATTCCTGTTTGAAAACTGGGCATTACTGCTATTTTGATAGAAATACTGTCTTTTTTGCAGTTTTCAATATTCAATCGCAATTTATCAATCGATAAATAATATAGAAATATTATATTATACAGAACGTTTTTGCAACAGAGGATAACTTGAAGTTTCAAAATCCCACTTAAATTGCAGTAAATAAACAAAGCACATCCTCTACCATATACATAAAGATTATTATTAAATACATTTATTTAATGAAACCACCAGCTCATTTTTGTCCAATGAAAAACAGGGGAGAATTCCCTTTCTAAAATCCTGAAAACATTTGGAAAGCAATTTCACATTTGATAACTCAAAGTATGTCAAAGCAATTGAATAGCTTTCATTATTACTACTAATATATTTTCGGTGCATGGAGTTTATTATATTGGCAACAGTTTGTAGTACACATACTGTAAAATAATAGAGGCTCATATAATTGATAACTTTGAATAAATACATGAAATAACATTCCTTCTACTATTACATGTGACTGAGCATAATCCCATTTTTAGGAATGACAGACTTCCCTAAAAAGCGGTGTGTTTTCTCTCCTTTTTTTCAGCATGGAATAAACCTATTACTTGTTCCCTAAAAAGCAGTCTACAATGGAACTGAAAAAAACGTGTTTTCCCTTACCACAGGCCATGTTATACTCATTTCTTGCACCTCATCTTGAAACAGATAATTTTCTCAAATAGTTCCCAGGGCACCATTAAAAAAGTTCAGTCTTAAAAGCATCCACTTCATACCTTGACAAAGGTATTTGATCCCCGTTTTAAGTTATTTTATGGGTTGGGTGAGTTGCCCATTCATAAAACAAAACTCTTTATTCAACAAATATTTACACTGGAGTGCCACTTCCTTTTCCTGTATAAACCCACTAAAAATCACACCCACTTTCATCAGATAAATTTAAAGATTTCCTTCAGCATGAAGTAAAAATTGATTTTTACAGCATACACTGTTGGGGTTAAGGGTTGCATGTTCGCAAGAAGTAAGTAACAGGAATTTATTTTCAAGTCTTCTATATTAGATATGTAACGACAAAATATAGTTTACAACAGTAAGCACATCAAGTACATATATTTCTATTAATGTTTCTAAGTAATGGAATATAAAATGTTACACTGCCTGACGAAAGCTAAAACATGGCTACTTTTCAGACAAAAACCACAAAAGCACTTTGTCAGAGCACCTGCAGGAAAAAATGTTTGCATCGATCTTGTCTTTTCAAACAATCAAGACAGACTGAGGCAAACAGTGGTGAGAAACCCATTTAGGGAACTGTGATCACGATGCGTTGTGCTTTGAAGTATAATCTGAAACTGTGCAGATTATGTCCACATCAAAAGTCTACAACTTCAGGAAAGCAGACTTTGAAGTAACGAGAAAGTGTTAGAGAAGCAGAATAGGATAGGACATAGATGCTATCAGTGGAAAATGGATGGCAACAGTTTAAAGAGATTCTGCCTGAAGCACAGAATACATTTATTTATCCCAAGAGTCAGCAAATCAAAAAGCTACAAAACAATATGCCAAATTAGAAGGCCTTTGATAGAGTTCCTCATAAAAGCTTAATTCTCAAATTACTAGCACTTGATATTAGGATTAGGAAATACTTATCAAATAGAAAATAGAGGGTATAAACAAGGGGTGAATACTCTCTTTGGGGTGATGTAATTAATGAAGAAGGGATCCCTCCTATTACAACAACTCTTAATCTAGATTCTGGTATATTTAGTAAAGTTTGCAGAAGATACCAAATTAGGAGAATTAGCTGACACTGTAGAAGCAAAAAACTGGCAGGTGATATTTAATTGGACACGTTTTTTCGTATGAAAAAGATTTGGGTGTTTAATGTCGACTGATCGTTCACATCTTCCAGACAATGCACGGAAGTAATAAAAAAGTAATAAAAAGGTATACAAAGTGTTAAGCTATATAGTCAAAAGTGTAGAATTCATATTAATGGATGAATGTAAATATTTTAAGAATGTGCCAGATGCTAGTTAGGTCTCATTTAGAATATTGTGTACAATTTTGTTAACGAAAAAAGATTTTGCTGCTCTAGAATCAAACCAGAGAAAAGCACCAGATGCATTTTGGAACATACAGCTGAAAGAACTGAACCCTTTTAGTAATGAACAGAAAAGACTGTAAAGGAAACCTGATACCTGAGGCATTTAAAATCCCCAAGAGCACTGATAAAAACAACGCAGCTTACTTCTTCAGAATGAGCAGTTCACATGAACAAGAAACAAAACAAGTGGAAACTACATGAGAATGTAATTGAAAACTGAGGAAGTACTTCTTTACCTAAAGGATTGTAGGGGTACATAACAAGCTTCCCAACTACAGTATATGGTTGAAATCGTTGCTTGGTTTCCTTCATGAAACAGCTGGATGAAATCCATGAATCGATGAACTCCTAACTACCCAATAGGCCAGAGGACCAAAAGGTCTGCTCGTGTTTCAACTTGCTTGACTTCCTTTAGTCTCATGGCCTGCTTATGCGGCAGGGAGTAAACATTATGTTTTATGCTCACTGCTAATTAGAGTTGACTTAATTGTCTTTGTTAATTAACTTTGTCAATTACCATACCAAACTCCACTGAAGGTTTTCTGTTGTGGTTGCAGTACTACATGAAGATTAATGTTTGCCTGTTAACTGATCACTCTGGTCACACATTGCTCTCCCTTGGGCTCTGCTTCAGGAATTACACTTGCCAGCTGGCTCACATTCACTGGCATGCAAATCAGTGAAGCAAATATCCATCTATGCATTTTCCAACCGCTTTATCCACTTCAGGGTCGCAGGGAAGATAGAGCCTATCCTGGAAAGCGATGGGTGAGTAATTGTATCCTCACACCAGAAGAAGAAGGCTTAACAACTGTATTTTTCTTTCTGCTGTTCATCATAGAATTAACCTTTATTTCTGCTCATAGCTATTTATGGTTCAAAGTGTATCAAGCAAACAAAAGTAACACTTTTTTATCTTTTCAGGACATATACACATTATATACACATTTGTATTATCACTATATATGTGATCATTCTCTGCATAAAACTGAATTTTTATAAGGAACACAAATGATGGGGCTTTTGAAGTGAACTTAAAGGTGAGTGAATATCCATTTAGAAGAAAACTTAGCTTGACAAAGGGCATTACTTAATAACACAGAGATTGAGAAATGGTTACTCTTGTTAAGTAATTCGCTTAATGCTAGGTATTAAGAGGTTCGATAAGCTATTTAGGCGAATAATACACTACAACTCCCAAAATGCAATTTTCAGTGTGCGCATGCTCCTAATTTAAACAAGAATTGTTTCCCTATCAGTTCACTGTAGGAAAGTAAATGGCGCAAAAGGAAATCTGATTGGATAGACTTCGGATCATTTAAGGTTTCTGCCATTCATGTGCTCAGATCTCTGTTGTTGATAGGCTACAGTCTACAGGTCAAAGTTTAAGGGTCTTAAGTATTTTTTTTTTAATGTAAACTAAAATCATGGCATCTCCTACGGTCAGTTTGGACCAGAAAAGGAAATTGGATCAAGAGGGTGAAAAAGGGGGCGATGCTGAAGAAGATGAATGGGTTGGACCGTTGCCAAGCGAAGCTACACAGTCCAAGAAAAGGAAAGGTAATGTTTCTTGATCGCTCTCGCTGTCCGGTACATGTTTGAAGTGCGGAACTACGCCAGCATGGGTTGACTGCATAGGGACGAGTAAAGGTTGATTTCAAACTGAAAAGTAGAAAGAAGAAACTTTTCGGCTATTGAGCCTTCTAAATCTTGTGTTATGTTAATGCATTTCATCACGTTAAGGTTTTTTTTAATGCACTACCTTCACCCCTCAACTACTGAGTTATACATATTTGTATACTGAAAAATGGAGCTTGCAATAGGTGGTCTAGAGTCTCAAGGTGTATCTAGTGTATTAGGCCTAAAAAGTGTTATCTAATTACTTGAACGAATTCTACGAGGGTTAACGATTTTAAGGAATGTATTAAAGTATTATAAATCCTGATTAAAACATAGCGATGTGTCGTTATAATGTAAACTTACAATTAAATGTTTCTTCATAAAGTAAATAGTTCACATTAAAACGTACAGTGGCACTGCTTTTACAAATGCAGTAGTGATGCTAAATCTTCTCTCTCTTTTGGGTTCTTACATGCATAGTAATAATGGTACATTTAACTCTTTTGGTTGCAAGTAGCTAATTGAACTGATGTTCCAATCCAGCTGTTTCTTGAATACGCTGGGAAACGTGTTGCGAGTATCTGCAGCTTTTTGTGTGTAAAACGTTCTGTTTGAAATGCACCTTATTTTCCACCCGGGTGGTATGGTTTCTGTCTTGTTATTGACTCTTAAGATATTCATATGCAGTGTCAGGAGCTCTTGAATGGTTTGGGAAACCACTCAAACACCTTTGTGAGAACTATCCCTTGGCTCGTAAGAAGCCGGCTGACCTGTTGTGTGTTTGGCAGTGCTTGAGTTTGAGAGGGTGTACCTGGACAACCTGCCCTCAGCGTCTATGTATGAACGGAGCTACATGCACAGGGACGTCATCACCCACATAGCATGTTCAAAGTAAGAGATTTTTTTTCCCCCCAACCTAATTGCTTTAGAAAACTAGGTAGTACTTCTGAATAATCTATTCTGTCTTTTCTTCCTTCCAAATCAGTCATAAGTAATGTTGCATATGCAGTTGTGAGAAAATGTTTTTGAACCCTTTGGAGTTATCTGGATTTCTGCATGAATGGTTCCTAAAATGCGATTTGATCCTCATCTAAGTCATAATAATAACAACGAATAAAGACATTTTACATATCAAGACAATAAAGACATTTATTTTCATATCTTGATTGAACAAATGGTTTAAACAATCACTGTCATTGATGGGGAAAAATTATGTGAACCTCTAGATAATATCATCTTGAAAAGAGGGTAATTTTAGTCAGGTATTCTAATCAATTCAGGTTTGAGTTTGACCTGCTCTGCTGTATGAAAAATCAAACAATTTGGGTTACCTGCTCTTCACAACAGAAGTCTGTTGAAGTGCAATATGGCCTGATCAAAAGATATTTAAGAGGACCTCAGAAGAAGAGTTGGTGAAGCTCATAAGACTGGAAAGGCTTACAAAAGGATTTCTAAAGACTTGGGCCTCCATCAGTCCACAGGCAGGCAGATAGCTTACAAATGGAAGAAATTCAGCACTGTTGCTACTTTCCCTAGGAGTGGGCATCCTACAAAGATCAGAGCAAGGGCACGCCATCCTCAAATCCTCAAACAGGTGACAAAGAACCCTGGGGTAACCGCTAAGGATCTGCAGGCATCTCTTGCACTTGATAACGTCTGTGTTCATGAGTCTACCATAAGAAAAACACTGAACAAGAGTGGTGTACATGGGAGGGAGACAAAAGTTGAAGTTTTTGGTAAATGTACACAGCGTTATGTTTGGAGAAAACAAAACACTGCATACCAACACCAAAACCTCATCCCGGCTGTGAAACATGGTGGAGGGATTATAATGGTGTGGGGCTGCTTTGCTGCCTCAGGGCCTGGACGGCTTGCAATCATTCAGGGACCAATGAATTCCAGGTTGTATCAGGAAAGTCTACAGCAGAATGTCAGGGCGTCTGTCTGTGATCTGAAACTTAAAAGACGTTGGGTCATGCAACATGACAATGATCCAAAACTCAGGAGTAAATCCACAACAGAGTGGCTCAAACAGAAGAAATTCCGCATTTTAGAATGGCCAAGTCAGAGTCCTGACCTCAATCCCATTGAAATTCTGTGACGTGATCTGAAGCAGGCCGTTCAAGCAAGACATCCCAAAAATATGAACTGAAACAGTTTTGTATAGTGGAATGGGCTAAAATACCTTCTAACCGCTGTGCAGTTCTGATCAGCAGCTACAGAAAGCGTTTGGTTGAGGTTATTGCCAATAAAGGAGGTTCCACTAGTTACTAAATATAAGGGTTCACATACTTTTTCCTCCGATTACCTTAATTGTTTAAACCATTTGTTCATTAAAGATATGGCAATGTAAAATGCATAAATGAAACACAAAATTCATAGTTTTCGGTCCACTTGTCTGAACTTTGTAGGATACAATTTCCTTCAGTTACAAACTTTTAGATGTATCATGGAATCTTTAGAGCAGGGATCCCCAACCAGAGAATCCAATTTTGCTTGAGGTCTCTGTGAATAGTATATGAGTAATTTCATGCTTAAAAAAAAAAAACGATTCCAGTTGAAAGCATCACGTCTCTAATAATCCCTTCCTCACCGCCCAGTTGTCAGTGCCAGTGGGCTTGGAGGTAATTTCTTCTTGAAAATTCTTGATGGATTGATGTTCAGTGGTCATTGTACTTTTTTATGTTTCAGCCGTTTATTTTAGCCCCATTGCCGAGCAAGTGTCTTCTGCACCTTTTTAGTTTTTCAATGGAACATCAAAGTTTTATTAATGGGTGAAAGAAGTGCTGACTTCACAAAAGTACTCGATGTTCAGATACTTGTAACATTTTTACACGTAGCCCCGTTTCCTCCTGTTTAAATTTTTGTGCACCTCTTAGATAGTTTCTCCTCTAGGAATTATTTCAATTTATTTTATTGTATAGTGTCTGAGTGACAGGCACCGTGGAACACTTCCTGATTTAATGCTTCTTGAAGCATCATTGCATTTCTGGGCTTTTTTCCTCACCTGTTACTGCTTATATAGGAATGTGAGATAATGCTGGTGTAGAATGATACCTTTCTTTGTAAAACTGCCAATGGTCTGGCAGTGTGATTGAACTGAGGCACACAACCCTTGTCATAGAGGGCTTACCCTTCGTATTGGGGATCCATAATTCTCGTCCTGGAGTGGCAGTGTCTCTGCAGGTTTTGTAGGTCTTTTAAAAGCCGCAGCACCTGAAGAGCTGGGAGACACTGCTCAATCGGTCCAGTTAAGCCAATAATGAGTTGGAAAGAACTTGCAGACACACTGGTGGTCCAGGACTAGGGCTGGATATTCTCACTTTATGGGACTGTGACTGTGGCTAGGTACAGTGTATATCGCATAAAAGCAGAGAACAGGTTGCTTATTTTTCATCATGCTGTACATTCAAATATAGAGGAAAAAGACATCTCACCATATTAGATTGTTTAATACATTGGATATAAGTTCCATTTATATCTTTGAAATTTTCAACCAAATTAAATGGTGTATTTGGGTGTTTCTGATGCATATTTCATTTAATTAACATAATTTAGTTGCATTGTCATGGTGACAGGGTGATAAAGATTATGGTGCTATAGCATCTTATGACTTACAATATTTTTGCCTTTAGACAAAGACTGGGAAACACTACTATAGAGGTCCCAAGATGCATTGCATTGAGTGGTCATCGTTACGCAGGTTAATATGCTCCTGTGCCATAGAACTGTATATTTTATGCTGTCCCACTGAGATACAGACTGTGCCACTCCAGTGGTGTGGATCGTCTTTCTATTTGACCAAACTGTTTGAGTTATTGCCTTTTGGTTCCTGACAGGACGGATTTCATTATAACAGCCAGTCAGGATGGCCATGTCAAATTCTGGAAGAAGAAAGAAGATGAAGGAATAGAGTTTGTGAAGCACTTTCGCAGTCATTTAGGTGTGTGAAATCTCTAACTGGCTTTTCTCTTCTTCTTTAGGAAATGGCATATTGGACAAAAACTATGATTGGAGCTGTTTAACATCTTAAAGCTGTTTAATGAAGCATTTGAGTTAATTCTACCAAGTTCCATATACTGTACAGTGCTACAGATCTGAACTACAGATCAGTTTTAAATTAAATCAAGCATTAGCTTAAAAAATGCCTACATGTACATAACTGTTTAATCCATTACATTGTGCGGTTCTTGTTTTTTTTATTTTGTGATGGCCCTATTCAATATACACTAGTTGAAACCTGAACACTGTATTCATTTTTGCTTATTGAAAGTGTTCCTTTGTTCAATCAGGGGTGATTGAGTGTATAGCTGTAAGTTCTGAAGGGGCACTGTTATGTACAGTTGGTGATGACCAGGCCATGAAAGTATTTGATGTTGTCAATTTTGACATGATCAACATGCTAAAGCTAGGGTAAGTACAATTTCTGAAGGAATTTATGTTTATGTAAGCAAATATGAGGTCACTAAAGAGCATCTGTTTATTTTTGTCATACTCATTTATTGCCCTAAGGATGTTTTTATTTTCTTGCAAAGGATGTACATTTGCACCCTAATTAAAAAATGGATTCAAATTAACAAAAACCTAGACAAAAGGCTTCTAGTTAAATGTTTAGAAAGCTAAAAAATGTGAATTTGTTAGAATACATAGGGTTAATAAGAGAAAACGAAATATGCTTCTTTCTAGACAGAAAGTGTTATTTAAAATTCGGAACTGTTCAATAAAGATGATGTGTATTTAATATATCTTGAAAACATCAGTCTATAACAATGCTTACTCCTAATGGACATTGATTTTAATGTTTAGTCATCAGATGCGTGCAGAGATTGTCTAGTTTCTGATCTGTTGGGTTACAATCCCTCTGCCATTTCTTGTGAATCTGTACAGCTTCCACCCTGGGCAGTGTGAATGGATCTACAATCCAGGTGATGCTATATCCACAGTTGCCTGTTCAGAGAAGATGACAGGCAAAATATTCATTTATGACGCGAGAGGAGATAACTGCCCACTTCACACGTTTGAGAAAATGCATTCATCACCCCTGTCTCAAATACGGCTCAACCCACGATACAGAGTCATTGTATCAGCTGACAAAGCAGGGATGCTAGAATACTGGACCGGCCTTCCAAATGAGTTCAAGTTTCCTAAAAATGTGGACTGGGAGTATAAGACAGACACGGATTTGTATGAATTTGCCAAGTGCAAGACCTATCCTACTAGCCTGGCTTTCTCAAGTGATGGAAAGAAAATGGCCACCATTGCCTCTGATCGGAAAGTTAGAATTTTCCGCTTCATAACGGGGAAGCTGATGAGAGTGTTTGATGAGTCCTTGACCGTAAGTTCATATTTTTAACTTCCAATGGCCAGAACCTAAAATAACAGGATGGCCACTTTTCTTTTATAATCTGCATTAGCAACCAGTTAGGTCTGAGGAGCTGATGATAGAGATGTACAAAAGGCAGGCAAAGCACTTGAACTTGTGTTCTAGATCTTCTTTTAGAATTATATTTCTTTCAAAAAAGAGGGATTATGTGAAACAGCAGTGGAGCTTGAATGCGAAGACCGGCCACACCCCTGAATGATGCTTTGTTCTTCCACAGATGTTCACAGAGCTGCAGCAGATGAGGCAGCAGCTTCCAGACATGGAGTTTGGCCGGCGAATGGCTGTGGAGAGAGAGCTGGAGAAAATGGATGGTATCAGGCTGACTAGCATCATCTTTGATGAAACCGGACACTTTGTGCTCTATGGAACAATGCTGGGCATCAAAGTCATTAATGTAGAAACCAACAGGTAAAGAGCAGCCTTATTCAGGGTTCTGAAAATGACTGATAACCTAAAAAAATGGATTTGTCCCAGCAGATCATAAAGGAGAAGTCTGTGACCTTTTTAAATCTCTGTGTGTTGCTATGGTAGGGTGTATGTATTGTATATTGTGAAGTGTTTAAAAAATATCTTTTGAACAGGGAAATCTGGTGCAGTATACCTTCTGAAATGGTTTTCGCCTACAGCGACTGCTTGGGAAAACATGAGCAAGCAAGTGAAGAGACTGAAAAACCTAGAAATTCCAATTTCACACCTGATATTGCAGTTTCCAAACACTGCAGTATCTGAACTGATGCCATCCCAATTTTTCATGGTGCAGTGTGGTCATAGGGAGGGAAAGGCGAGCCATGACAGTTTCCCGATATGTTGTCTGTAGGTGTGTGCGCATTCTGGGGAAACAGGAAAATATCCGCGTGGTGCAGCTGAGCCTGTTCCAGGGAATCGCCAAGAGCAGCCAAGCTGCACCCACTATCGAGATGAAGGCATCGGACAATCCTGCCCTGCAGAACTGCGAGCCAGATCCTACCATCTTCTGCACGGCCTTTAAGAAGAACAGATTTTATATGGTAACATCTGCATGCTAGCCATGCATTCCCAAATCGCCTTTACTGCGCTTTGAAATAAAGGTCTACCCCTGATCTCGCGTGCCGAAATACAGTTATGAAACATGAGTTTCAACCTATATAGACCACCGTAATGTAGTGCCGACATCTGCAGCAAAGAACAAAGCATTTCAGTAAAATGTAGCTGGGAATTGTCAAATCTCATGGGCCCGACATTTTCTGTTCATTTTATCAGATTAGGTTTGGATTTCAGTGATTAACATCGAATGAACACTTATACAGTATGCACAAAGCTGGTTGTTACGAAATATGAAATTGCACACTGTGCAGTATTGAATGTGCTGGAGTCACATTGAGGGCAAAAAAAATTCTTTTAGCTTTGCTTGCGTTTTGTTGTGCTCAACAGTTCACCAAAAGAGAACCGGAAGACACGAAGAGCGCAGAGTCAGACAGGGACATCTTCAACGAGAAGCCATCCAAGGAAGAGGTGATGGCAGCCACTCAGGCTGAGGGACCCAAGAGGGTGTCCGACAGTGCCATCATCCACACCACCATGGGCGACATTCACCTCAAGCTGTTCCCTGTTGAGTATGTGTTTCATGGGCCAGTATATTTTATTTTTCTTCTTTGCTTCTTTGTCAAGTCAAATTTGTAACTTTGATCTCTGATGAATTCTATAAACACTTGCAATCAAGTCCTGGTTGTTTCAAGGTGAATCTGGGGTTTAAGGTTATGGAGTGAATGTGCTTCCATCGTCTGACTGTTGTAGATGCTTGATAATCTGCAGATGAAATACTAGTAGATTGTTCTGAAAACCACAACAGTACTTATACTATCAATGTAGCTGTTTGCAGTCTTCGCTTTGTTTAATCTGTTAACAATCCTCTGCTTTATTTTTTCCCCCTTAGATGTCCGAAAACAGTAGAGAATTTCTGTGTCCACAGCAGAAATGGATACTACAATGGACATGTATTCCATCGTGTTATCAAGGTATAATTTTCTGTTACTTTGGCCTTCATTTTTTTTCCCCAGGAATAATACTTAGGTCCTGTGCCTGAAGATTATATTTTAATATGGAAAAAAAAAACTAAGCTGAGTGTGAAGAGTTGAAATAATTTCAAAATAAATTAAAACTGCCCAAAGTTATTCAGTGAAGTACAGTCATGGTTTTAGTTGTGTTTTGCTGTACCCTACTGCTTTACATTTACATGGGACAATCAGTGCAAGGGTTTTGTGTGGTATAGTCGTAGATTTTGTTAATTTGTATTATAAATAGGGTCTGGTGTTTTTCTTTACCCATTTTCTAATGTAATTGAAGTCCTCCAGCACTAAGAGGTTGACACAGCCACTTTTTGTACAATCATCTCAACATGGGACCTTAATGATTACTAAATGAAAATGAAATGATTATCTATTTTATTATTACAACTTACTGTATGTGTAAAAGAATGTAGTTGAACAGTGTTATGGCTACTGTCGTTTAATAAAAAGGCATCAGTATTTTCATATACAGTAGTTAAATTAAAATGATCAGCAGGAACAATTTTGTGCCTCAAAAGAATAGGTTTGCATTGAAGAGACAAAAAACACTGAAATAAAATGATTTTTTTTCCCAAATTGCTCAAGATTAGTGCAATTGAAATACTGCATCCTTACATTTTTACACAAAGTATGTTTATTATGATAGTTCAAGTAGGTAGCTGCGTTTTCATGCGTAGGGTGCAAAGGAACAGGTAGAGGTTTATTCTATGCTGAAAAGAAGACATTTTGGTTGTGGAGTCTTCTTCCAGTGTGAAATGAAATGACGCATCTACTTTTCATGATTTTGTTGTTAAACTCATTCATTTTAACTTAATTTGTAACTGTAAATGTTGGTCTGTCTTTGCAGATGTTAGGTATTCTCTCTCTCACACTCTCTCTCTGTGTTGTAAGCTCACATTTTAAGGGCTGGCTTTCTTTAAAACATTCATTACCTTTTATGAAATGTTTCTTTGCTGTGCCCATCATATAGCTTTTATGAATATCAGAACATTCATTTTTTGTGTTAAAATGTGCTTTTTACAGCCAGCCCTAATGGTTTGGTGCTTTATTAAAACATCGGATATGTATGGCAGATGTCTGCGTGACAATGCGCTTTTTTATAAAAAATTAAGCTTTCTACTCCTTTTTTGAAAACCTGGAGTCAAAAACTTTTGCAATGCACTGTTTTTACCTTAATGCGCATATGATAGTACAGTTTGTAACTGTTTAACTTAAAACAAGACCTGTAGGGTTTGTTCATTGTTCCCTCGTCTTCTCTCACGCTGCAGGGGTTCATGATACAAACGGGGGACCCCACTGGCACTGGCATGGGTGGAGAAAGCATCTGGGGAGGAGAGTTTGAAGATGAGTTCCACGCCACCTTGAGGCACGACCGCCCCTACACGCTGAGCATGGCCAATGGAGGGCCTGGGACTAATGGCTCCCAGTTTTTCATTACTGTTGTGCCAACGGTAAGTGTGTACTTTCATACCCCTTGTCTGGTTACAGCATGTATGATTGCTGCGACCGTGGAAAGTCGGTTTCATTTATAGATCTTGCCTCTGCTCTCTTTAATTGTTGCAGCCCTGGCTGGACAACAAGCACACCGTTTTTGGAAGGACTACGAAAGGCATGGAAGTCGTTCAGAGAATCTCAAACGTAAAAGTCAATCCTAAAACGGACAAGCCCTACGAGGATGTCAGCATTATAAATATCACCATAAAATGAATAAAGCAAGCTGTTAGGCTGTATTTTGTTTTCAAATGTGTTTGAACCATTGAACATTTTTAATAAAAAAACTGTTTTTTTATGTTTGAGAAAGGGTGTGATGACTTTCACATTGGGGACACTGCAGGTTTCATGATGAACATATGTTATGGGAGAGATGAAGCAAAATTAAGTGATTTTAAGTAATACTGGAAGTGAATAGTTTCTAATGATATTCTTGCAGTGGTTGTATATTCTTGTGTTTTAATGGATTCATGTTTTTCCACCCACAAAGTGAAATAGCTGTAAGATCTTAGTTCTGTAACAAAATCAACTCTATTATGTCCACAAGGTGGTTTTTATTTCAACAGCAGAAAACTAATTCACATTATTGAATGGTATACAAAAGCATTTCTCAATACACACTTCACTCAAGTTACAAATGTTCTTGTTTAGATGTGTACTGTGTTTTTATGGGTTTACAAAGTAATGCCATGTATTATTTTCCACTAATCCACAGCAATAATGGTTAACCTGTAGGATAGTTACTAAATGAATCAAATTCAGACATGCTTTTTCAATAGGTACAAGTAGTAAACTTACATTAAGATGTTAAATGATGAAGATAGTATTAAGATTAACCTACATGTTCTTTGAATTTCTCAGGAAAAGCACAATGATGGTACCTTGGTGTGGTACAATAAAAAATGCAATGTAATGTTTCATAGACCAAACCCAGAGTGAAAACTAGCCATTTCTGCAAAGTAAATCTTAGATGATGTGTAACATCAGTCCATGTTGCACTATAATTAAACAGGATGTACTTGAAATGTAGCATTTTTTACAGCAGTTGGTCAGTTATGGATAACTGTAGAAAATCACTTTCTGCAAAACAAAAGCTCCAAGCTTTTAGTAAAGATTTCAGAAAAATCTTCTACACTTTCTACCAGCTACACATACTACTGTATTCCATTACTGTTCAAATCCAGTGAAAAGTAGATTATCTTTCTTGTGAAGTTTTTTTAATTCTTTAATTTTTTAAGTGCTGTCCTATAGATGGGTTTTGCCTGAATCTGGGATCAGTTTAAGAGTGATGCCCAACAAGTCTTTAAAATTGCAACTTGGAAATGGGCTAAAGGGTGCATTAAATCTGGGTGTTCTTTTTACATAACTACACATGCAGATAACTTATAAAATAAGAATTATATTTCCTTTTAATGGAAATAATGTTTATCAGGCAGTTACTTCCCTGCTCCACATGCAAGGCTGATTTTGATACTAGTCACCTAGCAGTCTTCATTACAGCGAAACTTTTGTCTGCAGCCCCTGATGGGAAACTGGATGATCACTTTCAAGCATTTAAAGTACACATCACAGAGCTGAAGTCACTAATCACATTTGTCCCCATATAGTAATCAGTGACACAAAATACTTTTCAGCCACTGAAGGATACAAAACAAGATATCTCTCAGACTGCTCAGGGTGTTTACAGCATACATTTCCATGGTGTTCCTCAACATCTTCTGGTGGCTGGAAGTGGTGAATCATATAATCATGGCAATGCCTGAATGCATTGGATAGTCCAAGAACAACTGTAGGCAAATACTTAAATACTAGGCATCACATCAATTTTTTGCCCTGAATACATATGAATATCAAATGAAGATGATCTATTAATATGGAAGGAATACCATTTTTGAGAAACACCATCCAGAACTAAGATTCTGGAGCAGTCTTGTTCTGCTTATGCAGGATGTGCTTCAAATGGAGTAGTTTATACAGCAGTTGGCAAACAACGTAGAATACCACATTCTGCAGATGAGAAGCTGCTACTATGAATCTCCAAATCCCCATTCTCTTTCTTCCTCCTTTCTATGTTTCAGCCTTATAGGATGAATGAACAGACGACAGGTACACCCACTGCACCTCTACTGAATCCTCCCCTCAAAACAGGAGATGGAATAACTTTTATAAACATCATTAACCCAGGTCATAGCCATAAGGTTCCTTAACTGACCATGATTTAAACATAAGTAATCCAATTTACAAAGAGAGGTTTTAAGAAGATAGTCTTTTAGACTTCTTGCTAGCTGGACAACAGATACTACTGCATTCCACCTACTAGTTGAAATCTATCCAGTTAAATCTATAGCATCTTCCAAAGCAAAAGCAATGAAACAAAACTGTATTGATGAACCAAATCTATGATATGTTAGCAGGGGACTGTTCAGAATCACTAGCAAAACTGGGAGGTCTTGAACAGGATTTTAGAATAGTCCACTAGACAATTTCAGAAACAGACCAATTTCATTAGACTTTCCCTTTTCATCAACAGGAAGACCCCCATGAACAATAAAGGGGGCACAATGTGGGACTAAAATGATACTGCGTGTATACCAGCAGGCCTGAGACTTCAATTTAACACCATTAGGTTGACATGTTTATCAACATCAAAGGGAAAGCTGAGACAAAAAATTGACCTTTTACAAATAGTCTGTTGGAAGCAGTGGGAAGAACTCTCATCTACAGCTCATGGGCCAATGAGCCACCAGGTGTCACAGAGCAGATCCTCTCAGGGTGGAGATGCTATAGGAACCCCCCCCAACTCTCTTTCCCACAGCCTTGCCGTGTAACAGAACGCAAACCGATAAGGGTAACAATGAGTTAGCGGTGGGGTGTTACAGAATGTGAATCAAATTGTCGAGGGAAACCGGTGGAGAGGGGCGGGCCCAGCCTCAGAAGGAGCTCAGGCCACATCCAGCACCCCCGCGGCCACCAGCTGCCGGGACAGCCAGTCCAGGCCCTCGTGCAGCCCCGTCCCGCTCCGAGCGTCGCAGCCCTGGATGTGCCAGCTGCGGCCACAGCACAGCTTGTGCAAGCTCAGCAGTTCCGTCATCTCCTCCACGGAGACCGCGCCGGCCACGTCCTGGGGGACCGGGAGGACACATTTCAGCGCAAAGATCAGTCAATCAACCAATGTTCAAAACACAGACTTACTCCTAAATCTCGGAATGCAATACTTCCAGCGGATGATCCAAGGTTTACCTTATAGTCAGCCATTCAGTAAGCAATATTAGTTTAAACATGAAAATAAACTATTTCTCCTTACCACAGGTGTTAGGGTCCATTAGATAACTATTACTTTGAAATAATATGAAGGCAGGGTTTTAGTGGAACCTCAAAAATATATATAGGTGTTACAGGTATCTTGTAATACATACAAAGAGGGTTAAAAAGCTAATACATAAGATGGCATAAGAAGCATTTAAATGCAATATTTACAGATGCAAATGGGCAATCACTGTATCCTGGAGAGATAAGGGAAAGGAGACACCATTATTACACCAGTAGTAACAAAAGTACCTAGTTCATTACTAAACAAAATCAAAAGAATATTGTTTCTAAAATGAGCAGTTGGACCCAAAGGGGAAATCTGTGTTAATTTATATCAATGATCTTGATTCTAGTTAGTAAACCTGTCATGTTTTACAGACAGTACTGAAATAGAAGGATTAGCAAGCACTGTAGATGCTGCAAAGGAAATTTGAAAAGACTTTCAAAAGCTAAGGCTGAAAAACACTTGGAAGAGGACTAGTGCAGAGTGTTAGATGAATGTAGCACAGAAAAATTACAGATTTGAAGAGACCTGTGTTTATGTAAAAACACCATTATCATCTCCTAGACAACGCAGGGAAAGAAGAAAGGCAATACAGGATTTTAATAATGTTAGGCCATACAGTTACAAACACTGGGTTGAAATGAACGCATGTTATGTAAAAGGAGTATAATGTACTAATTAATTCATAAAGGTAAATCTCAATGCACACACTATCCTTAATGCTATGAAATTCTGTTCATTATTTGTAAATATTTTCACATCCAAATCACCAGCCTCTCTACAATAAGTTTAATATGATTACTTTACATACACAACAGTAACCCTCCTTTTGAGCTAGAAGATCACTGCCAAAGCCAACTTCCTAACATAATGACAAATATTCTACTATATATAATACGTATTCTGCATACAGCTACACCTCTGATCCTGATTACACTTATTACATTTAACTATAATAAAACAATCATACATCTAAATAATTAGACTAAACAGAAAACGGCAACTTGAAGGTTTTTAAGCAAGTCCCTGTCCACTTTCTCCAACAGTGTGAGCACAGTTTGAGTAAAATAGGCGGAAAATGCAGTGATAGTTTGGCGCTCACTGCTCTAACATTTTAGAAGAGCAGTTAGCTGTATGGACAAGCAAATGATGACCCATTATGGGCGTCATACATGTCACTTCAAGACATGCAGTGCCTTTAGAAAATACTGTAAATACGTACCTGTTTATTGGCGAATATGAGAAGCAGCGCGTCTCGCAGTTCTTTTTCTGTCAGCAGCTTGGCCAGCTCACTGTGGGACTCCATCAGCCTGTCTCTGTGACAGCTGTCAATAACAAACACCACCGCTGGGAACACAAAAGTGGTACACTTTTAGACAATTAGGGTCTAACTCCACGATTGCATGATCTTCTAAAGGGTTTACATCGAAATAAAAGCCCCTTTTCTTCTGGCACATCCGAGCTATGAGGGATCCGTATGGTCCAGTGACTGTTTTGTCACGTCAAGTGGAAACCGGTCCATGAAACTGAAACAACTCTGGTTTGTCAGTGCAAGTGGAAAAGGGGTATTAAATAAGAACAACATTCATATAACAGGTTCAGAAAAAAACCTCAAACTCCCAGTGGAAGAGAAAAAGTTAACCAGAAACCATTCTATTTAGTAACATTAGGGTTTTAAAAGGAACATGCTTTTTATGTAATTGATAATTTTCCAACGAATCCCCAACTGCAAATCTAAGACACAGCTGTTATAAGACATTCTTGAAAAATAACATTGGAAGGTCAGATAAAGGCTTGGATGCTCATGGAAATGTATGATCATCTCAGGCCACTCTCCAAGCTCCTCACATCTTTCACCTGCAAACCCCCCTTCCTCTGTCACAAAAACCTCAAAACACTAAAAGATAAAGTGCTCCGCTATGAAAGACACAGTTCTCAGTGATTCTTTAAGAAAAATATTTCTCAATGAGAGGTGTACTTGTGTATGACCACCTTCATGAATGTACAGTATTGAGGAGCAACAGGGTGACTAAAGGCTTTAAAGACTCAACCATAAGATAAGGCTTTTAAACAAAGATTTACTATACATTTACCCCAGCAGTATGGCTTTCATTTGCAATGCACTACTGAATTAAAAAAAGTCTACCAAGAGAGCGCGGTTATCCTCAGCTGACTGGGCAATGGAAGAGATGACAATTCATACTTTGAAATTGCTCCTGGGCAGGAGGAAATTTACGCAATATTATATCCTGAGTAGAGTGAGAACATCTTGTCCTGTTGTCTCATCTATAATGGATCACAAAATCAGCCTGTGGGTATGACCTGCATTTCCATATTCAACAACTGACACAAAAAGGTATTCGGTCAGAAGTGGCCTATTCATCTTGTTTGGAAGTTTAAGACCTGTTAATATATCAAGATAGACAACTCCCACACCAGATCATGAATTTAATTTTAATCCAAATTTGAAAATCAAATATTGGACATATTCTGAATAAATATTTGGATTCTGATGCATACCTTGTGTGTTTAGATAATAATGTTTCCAAAGCGGCCTCAATTTATGTTTGCCACCAACATCCCAAATAGTAAACTTTAGGTTTTTGTATTCCACTGTTTCCACATTGAAACCTAGAAAACAAAGAGTGATATGGTTAAAGGTCACCTGAACAATAACTCCACTGAACGACTATGCAGTCTACCTTTAGGTTTGGTTTTACTGTGTTTTTTTTTTTAAGAGCTGGCTCTGATAGAAGTCTTACCCATCAACTACTTAAAGTAGAGCAACTTTAAGACAGGGTATGTGCATGTGTATATACATAAATATTTAATAGAATGGGTATAATACAAGGTGTTACACCACAGAAATGTGTGTAAAACCACAAATTGGGTCTTACAGGCCTTCAAAATAATCATTTTTTTTGACTGTTTTAAAAGATATCACCAAAAACAAGGTCATCAAGGTAAGGGTGGAATAAAATCTTACATCACCCCTTAGTTTAAACATTAACAGGTATTACTGGACGGGCTAGGTTAGTTTTTACAATGTTCCTCTTTCATTTTAATACCATACTGATTGGACTGGAAACCATTTTTAATAGTAAAATATTTTACAGAAAACAAAAATGTTTACCCATTTCAGATATGGATTCCTGCAATGAAAATAAAGCAGACTATGCATAAACAAACTCTAGGTTTAGTTGTACAGATATCCTGCATAAGTTTTACCTATTGTTGGAATGGGCTGCATGAACTCATCCTGCTTTAGTTTAAAAAGAATCGTGGTTTTTCCTGCCCCATCCAGCCCTAACGTCACCACGCGAATCTCCATTTTTGGGCCTATGTGCACCCTGTTATCCTGAAGAGAAGGGTAACAAAAAATAAGACTCAGGAAAGAGAAAAACATTTGGAGTATAGCTGTTGTTAGCACAAAAAGGGAAGCTTCACAAAACATTTTAAGAAGTGAAATATTCAAAATATGCTTTAATTCTATTGGACTTTCCTAAAACAATACAGTATATTCATTCTAATGTTTTTTGTTTTACAAAATTACATAGGAGATCAGATACTGCTGAACAGAAGTTAGTTTTGAAACAGATCAAATTATGTGTAATAGGAAGCACACCAAGATCAGGGGAGCTGCAACAAATACTGTCCTCACTTTACCTTGGTGAAGGTGACCGGAATACTGGCGTCAAGCTGAATATGATCAGCAAGCTCTGTGAATTGCTGCTGTTGTTTCTGGAGTGTTTCTAGTAGTCTTGTGATCTCTTGTTTTGCCAAAACAACTCTGCAATCATCCTGTACAATGTAGAAAACAACAATAGTAAGGCAAATTCACCTTCAACCATGCCATATTTCTTAACATCTAGAGTCCTGCTCTATTGAAATGTTTCCTCGATATTAAACGTGAGGAATTTAATTTTTAAAACTCCTCTGAGACCACGGTGTTTTCCAGTCTTTTTCCAGCCAAGGTCCAGCTAGTTTTGATCCCTGCATTTCATAAACTACTTCCTACAGCAACCACATTAAGGTATTTCTGGCTTTTGTATTTCTCCTTATTAATAATAATTCTGCATCTTACACAGATGGGCAGTCAAACCAATAAAACCATTGATGCGATAAATAGATTTCTAAACACTTTCCTCAGAGTTTATGCATTCCAGAAGGAAAAAGTGTAAAAAGATCCGTCATGCCAGGATCCCTTCCTACATGAAAGTTTAAACCAGCACTTGTATGAGTGACGAGTGAAGCTCTGCTCCCATCAGGTTCACGGCTACTCACAGGTACCCACAAATTCAGAGGACCTCGCCACGTGCCTCCCTGACAGCCAACACTACACAAGTCCTCACTGTAATGAATGTAGCTCTGTTCCATTTCCACTCACAGGCAACCTTCACAGCCACTCAGTGCAACTCTCCAGACATTTTCTTTCCTTCCTTTCCTTTCGTTGACGTCGCCATACCTGTTGCAATGTCTTCTCACAGTGCAGGCAGGCAGTGGAGACCTGCGACAGCAATATGGTCATGTCTTCCTGCTGCTGACGAAGCCAGATGAGTTTTTCTCGCACGTGGGCGTCAACCACACTTAGGGCCATCTCCTCCTGGCGGCACAGTGTCTCATGCAGGTCCGCAAAGTAAGCTCGGACACAAGAACGTGCACTTTCAGCCGTACCAGGCACCTGGACAGACAGGAAGGAAGGAAGAAATGCAAGAAGGCTCACACACACACCCACACACACACTAGAAAATACTTATTAACCTCAAGCCATGCCAATTCTATTCTCAGGCACTGAATAAAATGGTTTGCCTCTGTAGTCAATAAGTTCTTATCTACAGTATGAGCAAAAATAGCTTTGGAAGTCCAGGATAATTATTGGTAATCTGTACATTATTATGGTCACATAATAAATTAACATAAAGAAGGGATTTGAAACAGCTGGCTGCACTCAGGTGTCACGTCTATATGCATCTACAGATTTTCTCCACGTCTATTCAAGTACTGACTTGGTCAGGCCTCAACAGTTCTTTGCAGAGAAAGTGCCATTCGATTCTTACATGTTCTGTGTGAGCCATGCCAATGCCATCTTCCACAATCTGTTCTCCCCCCTCGATCTGCTGCACAATGCCCACCAGTTTCCGGGAATACTCAGAGATCTCCTCGGTAAAAGTACGAATGCAGTGAGCCATGTCCAGAATGGAAGCACGGATCTGATTTGCTTCGGCTTCCAACACTGCATGCTGAAAGTGTGGGGGGGGAAAAAAATACCACATGATTTGAAAAGGACTGGATGTAGGTATCTTCTTACCTTAAGAAACAGGAGTAAATTAGCAACTTCAAATCACACGTAGAGCCAAAACTGTCTATTACCATACCCCAACAGACACAATCATAAGCTAAACATCATGCATTCAAAAATGGAAAAATGCAACACACACTAAAGAGTTTTAGAAAAGCCTGTGCCTGACGTTCATTAATTCTCACACCTCAATTCAGGAAACTTTCATCAAATCATCAGATGTTAATCACACAGCTGAACGGAACATTACTCAGACTTCAGAGTAAATTACAGCTGTGACAGTCAACACTGTGTGACAAGGGGCTATCCAAAGCAGCAGCAGCAGTCTAGCTGCTGTGGATTGTGATGACTTACCTTGTGGCCTTGGTGCTTCCCATACTCTTTGCACACACAGCACATGAGTGGGCCTGGCTGACAGGCATCTTCCAGGCAGACAAACTCAATGGCATGCACCTGGTGCTGGAGACACAGAGTCTTCTCGTGGGGCTTGTCGGCAAGGGGGACGCGTCTGTGCTTGGCTAGGGTGCGAGTGGAGTGCGTGAGCTGGGAGCAGTCTGCACACAGGTGAGTGGCACACACAGTGCAGTACATGGACGCAATGTGATTCTCGTCCTCGTCACAGCGGATGATGCGCTTGGAAAGAAGGGAAGGTAAAGCGCGTTGGAGTTGGGCAAAAAGCACATATCAACACCAGCAACACCAAAGATGATTATTTCTTTGTAAAATTATGTTTAAACGTGTTATGCCTTTGCTTTATATTAACAAAAGAGGCTTTCCTCAAGCACAGATAAAGGCTTTTTTAACAAAGAAGGGGTTTGAAATGCACTAACTTAATGTGTGTTTTACTACCCATTTCTAATTAAAACAGATGCGATGTAATTTACAATTTTGGAAAATTAAAATAAAATGCACTCTAGTTAGCCAAAATCAAAGGCAAATTCTATGGAGAACATTTACTTTGAACAAATGCTAATCTTCATTTCCAGGAATTTGTCACAGGGGTGGACAAAAAAAACACCAATATGAAGTCTTTTAATTGGGCGTTGGGCCACCAAGTGCGGGCCAGAACAAACTATGCTCTGTGCAAAGAGAGAGAGAGGCAAACAACTCATTCCTGGATGGAGGAGGTGGAAAACCGTTTCAGGCATCCTTTCAGAATATTTCTTAAATACTCGACTGGGTTCAGATGTCATGACCTTCTTTGTCACCAGATATGTATACATCACCATCATGCTCATGAAACCACTGGGCAACCATACGCTCTGTGGATGAGTGCACTGTCATCCTGGAAGATACCTATCCCAGCAGACAACAATTGCTGCAACATGGGATGAAGATGATCACTTAGTACCATTCATTTGTCGAGAATAGAGTGAAGGATGAATCATCTGACAATATCACATTTCTCCACAGCTCGGTTTTCTGTTGCCTATTCTCTTTGCTCCACTGAAAATGCAAACGTGCATTACCAGCTGTGATGAGTGGTTTATACTGTACACTGCCACCCGACTATTCTGTCTCACTCTCTGGGGCTCTAGGTGGACTGTGCTTGATTAAACTGGCTACCCATGCTCTAGGTTGAAATGATCCACATTTGCTCGGCAGTTTGGCTCACACTTCGAATCAATGCACAGACATCACGGTCCTGGAGTATGAGCTCCTGCCCAAAGTTTCCTTTTCCTTATGTCTTTCTCTCAGTCACTTGGCCACTGTAGGTCCTGCCAAATGCACCGTACAAATCACCCCTGTTTGAAAGTCAGTGAGGTCTCCTCTTGCTGCTATGCTAGCTAGAATTATAGGTAACCAGGTCTCTCCAACATTTTTATGCAGGACACTAAAGCATTCTAGGATGTTATTTGCTTAATTAATGCATGAGCCACACCAGTGTAGAAGCCCTAGCTTCAGTATACTTGGTCTTCCGGGTTTACCCAGGTGTTTCCATTTTGTGTCCACTACCTGTACCTAGAGCATTGTGCATTGTACAAACTCAATGTTACCAGATCATAAGGCACAAAATAAAGCCTGAGAGATAGCCACAATGCCACACTCAGGAGTTTAACACTACTGAGAATGCCCAGTGAACAGACTGTCTTCTACCTCCCCAGCTCCTCCTAAGGCGTCTTCTGACATGCCTGACTGGTTAGAGGCCCCATGCTGCAGTCTCTCAAGGAGCTCAAGCAGAGCAAAGTTCTTCTTCAGTCCCCAGACTCCAGAATCCCCTAAACAAACATACACATTCAAAACTGTTATATTACCATAGAAAGTCCACATCCTAGGATGTTGCACAATTGTTAGAATCAAATTATCAAAACAAATTCAAGAAATTGATTCTGCGACCTGTATATTGTGGAAGCTTCTTTATGTTTTTATTTCTCATGCAAAATAAAAATGTTTCTTGTATCAGTTCTGTGTTCATCTTCATTTAGACATATGCAAGGTTGTTTTAGACCAGTGCCACTACACTGCATGTAAACCCCTAGAACTTCACATATATCACCCAGGATACAGAAGAAAACTCCAATCTCATTAAATGTTAGCAGTCAGTCTTAAACCCAAAATACCACGATGATAATGACTGTTTCTGTAACAGAATTTCCAATCTATAAAGGATTTTAAATGGCATTCTAGATACTTCTTATTTTAGAATTTTATAACATGGGTCCCTATGAATACCAATTCAGCTTTTTTTCTCCATTTTTCTCCGTTTGTTTTTTTGTCCTCCAAAACACAAAAAACAAACTCCAGTTTATTAAGTTAGTGAATTATAATTAGACAGTCATATGCCCCAGCTGATGCGAATTTAGCCACAGGAAGCAATATCCAAGTCAGGGCCTTGTCATCTCCATGGAAACTACCCAGCCCAGAGCTCACCCAGCTCGGTGACCTGTCTGTCGAAGGGGCAGCGGATGGCCCTGCCGTGCAAGGGCAGGCGGGTGAGGCAGTCATGGCAAACCGTGTGGCCACACAGTAGCAGCCGGGGGACTTTATCCCCTTGCAGGGAGAAAACGTCTTCGCACACTCCACATTCCAGCACCTGGAAGCACACAACAATCCACATGAAAAGCAACATCCAGCCAATATCCCAGGCAACGCAACCAGACCGACATACCGGGAGCTTAACAGCTGAGCAGCAGCTTGCGGCCACAGATCTCCTGGGCAGCACACAATAACTATCAGCTCAGACATCTCAGAGAAACAAAATTATCCGATTTAAGATTCACTCTGGCATAGGCTGGGACAGTGCAATCAATGTATTTGAATGTAATTCACAGAAATTAAGTCTCACACTGAATACCTTTGAATCCAAAGACAAAAGCCAAGTGGAGCTCGACTAGCCAATCAGGGTGATCAGTCAGCAGCTATATCACCCTGCAACCCACTGAAGCTCAGCAGGTGTGACCCTACCTGGATGGGAGACCTCCTGGGAAAAGCTAGTGTTGCTGCTGGAAGAGGTGTTAGTGTGGCCAGTCGGGGAGGGGGCGCCCTCTAGACTGTGTGGGTCCTAATGTCCCAGTATAGCGATTGAGACACTATTGTGTAAAAAAGGCACCGTCCTTCAGATGAGACTTAAAAAAAAAAGAGATTCTGACTCTGCGGCCATTAAAAATCCCAGGGTGTTTCTCATAAAGAGTAGGGGTGTTAACCCTGGTGTCCTGGGTAGGAGGCCCCGTATTGGCCTCCTACTCCGTTCTCCTCCCTGCTTACAGCTGGTGCGTGGGAAGCATACTGGCGCACTATGGCTGCCGTCGCATCACCCAGGTGGGTGCTGCACATTGGGGGTGGTGTAAAGCCCTTTAAGTAAAGGGTCTAGGAAAGTGTATAATTGTATTATTTCTATTTATTTGTCAGAAATAGAAAATTTTCTATATATATATCAAATAGGTTAGTATTACTATTAGAAGTACAGTGTACTGAAGCTGTACAGCACCTTGTACTAGTGACTGCTGTGCTTCCCTGGAGCAGTTACTAACATTCTTTTTTTAATTTCTTTGGAGCTCATATTTTATTAGTTTTCTATGTATTCTAACGTTATATTATAGGACTGACTGCATCAAATCCTCCAAGTTAACCGACTGCCAGACCCATAAAACAGTACAGGGATTTTTTTTACAAACATCTGAGTCCGAGGGGGGGCACAGTGGTGCAACGGTCAGCATTACTGGGTCAAAGCACTTGGGCCCTGGGTTCAGTTGCTAGGGTGGGTGCTATCTGAGTAGAGTATGGACAGTATGTTATCCCCATGTTCACTTAGATTTCCTCCCACAGTACAAAGACAAACTGGTTGGTTGGGTTCTGGGAAAACTGGTGTGAGCGGGAATGTGTGTGTGTCCTGTGATGGACTGGTGTCCCATCAAGGTGTACCCTGCCTTGGGTCTGTTGCTTGCCGAGACAGGTTTCGGCTCCCCCGGGGACCCTGTCCTGCATAAAGCGGTTAGAAAATGGAAGGTTGGATAGATTTTAGACAGAGATATTAATTACTGAACAATATGTCAATAAACTATTTATAAACTGAAGGTTGTTTGAGGTTGACCACTGAACAGACTGGCTGATCCGGTATAAAGCACTAAACACTGCAGGAAGGTCCTGAAACCAGAACAAACACCTACTGTACAGTAACATGCAATTCAGGCCCAATTTCAGGGTTTGTTTTTAATATAAATAAAAGTGTAAGTTGTGCACAATAACTCAGTTTTGCAAACTTATTATGAGCATGTTGCTTCCATATGTTGATAATATCTGAGATTACCTACAACAGGTGAAAACATTTCCATACACACTGTTTTTTATGTTATAATTAAGGTTGCCACATGGCCCAATAATCCCAGCTAACTTTGAGACAGAGCAGGACATTAAAGTTCCCCTGAAACTGAACTGCTTAACTCCCTAAACTTTTACTGCAGCTTAAACACCACATTTGGTCTGAAAATACCATAGATCTCTATGAACATGGAAAAATAAAAAAGTATCTAGAGCCTGGAATTTTAATTTTACAATTTACCTCACTCATTTGCATGTATTCATTCCTAAACGATCCAACTTACCTATCTAATGTGTTCTTCTGTAAAACAAACTGTGCATCTGATTACATATTTGTTCTGCAGGACAGTAGGATAAAAACAATGCAGAGGGCAGCTGTTTAATAAGGATGATGGCAAATTGATGGGTTGAGAACAAGCAAAAAAATACTCAATAATTACGTACAGAACTGCTGCCCCCACAAGTAACCGAAAAAGCTTTGCATTGGTTTCAAAGTAATTTAAACATTTTGGACTTCTTGTGAACAAAATGTTATTAAGTTTTAACATTGCTTCAATATAAAACAAAGAAATGCGTGTCCCAACACGAAGAAGAAGGACAAAGGGGCATTATCTCACTACCAAACTAAAAAAAAAAAAACAGAAAAAAAAGAAAAAAGAAAGGGGCAGATTGAATATATTGTGTAAATTATAAAAAGCCTTTGTCTGGGCCAAGATTTGAGCTCTTGGAGCTCAGCAATGTCATTTAATTATTTTCAAGAAGGATAATGGCTATTTGGACACTTTCAAGAAGTATATCTACAAATGAACAAAACTCTCTATGATTTAAAAGCAATGCTGCTCTCCACTCAGTCCTGGAAGGCAGATTTTATAGCTGCAGAAAAGAATCAAGATGTTGATGTGCAGGAACTATCATCAAGTAGGAGCAGTCTGGGCATCAGTGGCATGGGACCAACCTCCCACAAAGCCACACATGCATGCCTCTTTTTTCACTTAAAAAGATCTTTTTGCCAAAAAAAAAGTCAGAATCCAGCAAGTGATGTGGCTTATTGCTTGAACCGTTTTGTGGACCTTTATCTTTATTAGGAAAAATAGAAATAATATCTGAAAATGAGATAAGAGTTTTTCCATGAAAGATGTCTAGAATTGAATATTACTGGACTAACATGATCAAACACAGCCTGCACTAGCCGAGATGGAATGTCATCAAGGCCAGGAGAATTCTGCTTCTACATAGATTGAGACCGACTTCAGCTCCAGCAAAGCTTTAGGAGTATCCAAAAGCCCAAATTTTTCAGCTGTCGAACTTAACCAGGTCTGTGCAGGAGCATGAGGTACAGTATAGAGGTGTGTAATGACCTTAGAAGCTGGAAGCTCACGTTGTTTTACACTAAGTACAAATTGTTTTATAGGATGTTCACCATACTCATATTGAAGCGGTCTTATCATACATAATAGGAATTTGACTCTAATTTTAGTGGGGCTTTAAACTAAGTTTTAAAACTATTTAATATTTTACCTGAATGTTAAATTTTTGTTCTTTTCACCCCCAACTCTTAAAATGCAGTTTCTTAACTGTTCATTACATCTGTTTAAATTACACGGAAAAGTAATAGAATAGTCTCCTATTAAAACATTTGGTGTCTTATCATAGAGAATGAGGGTAAAAGAATGGTGTCTTAAAGAAGTCATGAAATATAGTGAGGTTCAAGAATGGGAAACATACTGTATGAGTGTAATATATTGAAGGTTTCCAGTAATACACCTATGGAGGAGCAAAGATGACTGAACACAAAATCAATTCACAAAGGCATTTTATTACTAGATGAGGGGGAAAAAACTATTTTTAACAGTTTTTTTTTCACTGAGCAGAATTCTTGTGCAAATGTTTGAAAGCTTTTACAGGCAGGCAAAGAGAGGAGACAAGGGGACAAACACAGAGGAAATGTCCAGCACGGGGATACTCTCTACATGCATTCAAGTCTGGGACATTTTGAGGTTTAATGCTACCTGGAAATTCAAAAACATTAGGCAAAAAACTGATGGCTCAATACAACCCTTTTCATTTTATGTATTGCACAAGAATGAGCAGTATTATTATACTGTAGCTGACGAAATATATTAACATTAGCATATTTGAGAACAGTCCGTTAGAGTAAAGCAACTTGGATTTAATCAAATTGCGAGCAAAACGAGTTCTGAAGGAGATGTTTGCAATTCCTTATTTACTGCTCAAAGTATTTGTCTCTATGCTATTTCTGACAGAAACGCCATGCAAATGCATCTTTACATGGTCATGCTCAAGGAGCAGGTTTAATTTCTGCAAACATAAAAAAATTAGACCATGAAAATTAACTTCATCCCAGTGTGGTTGGGTCATTCATTCACAAATTTTACAACTTTATTAGATTACAGTATTCAGTCAGACTTTCCCTATTTTAGATCTAGATAACTGTAAATTTATTTTTATGTAATGTCGGTATCGATATATTGCTTGTTTGTGGGTAAGCAAGATTCTTCTGTTGCTACTAAAAAGAAAGCTGCACAATTGATATCAGACATCTGAATTAATGATAATAACATTATAGACACAAAATAATGGATGCAGTTACCAAAAATAAAAATAATTAATTTAGCCATCTGCACGCATAGACTTAAAATCAGGGTTATTAACATTTTTATGCAATATTGAAGTAATAAGAAAACTGGCCAATGAAGTGTGTGCGATACACAAAACTCAATTTTTAAGTGACTACGTCTCGGTCAAATATGTGATCTTAAGTATAACCACAAACAAAAACAATGATTTACATGCGCACAGGAAGTGCAATTTGTCTATATTTTGAAACATGCAATTGTATTCAAGTACAGCCTTTTCTTTGATGCGTACGCCAACGCAGGCGAGCAAGCCTGCTCTAAACCCGCTGGAAATTTCCAGACTTAGTTACAAGTCTAAGCAAGCCAAAGAACGCTTTCCTCTTTGCAACACAGGCGTTTCTGTGCCACACAAATTGCAAGTCCCTTGTCATGAGATCTTGGTCATACTGCACTTACATAACAAATAACGCATGATTAATATATTTTTCTGAATTAAACTGCAGTGTGCAAACTGAGTTAAAGGGTTACGTAAAAGACAATGGGAACATCGCATTTTCAGAGGCTGTCATCAGCACCAAAGAAGCTGGTGCAGCTACATTAGCAACACAGCATCCGAGCCACGACAGCAGCGACCGCCCAACTCGCTCTCTCTCGCCAACACTGTCAACCACGGTCACCGGCAATGCACCCCTCTCTGCGGGCGTCGCAATAGGTTTTCTTTTTCGGTCACTGACCGTTTTGAGCATCGGCTTCACTCACCTTCACCGTGCCTCCTGCAGCCGCCCGGCCGTGTCGAACACAGCTCTCCATTGCCGCTGCAGATGCCTGCTTGTTTACACCTACAGCAGCAGCCATCCTCGGGCTCTACCACCAGCCCAGCCGCTCCTAGGTGGGTCCGATTGCACGTAGGCAGAATGGCATCGAGATAAAAATGCTTATATGCACTGTAATAGGAAAATAAAAACTCAAGTTATAGTTCTAAAAGCATTCTTTTTAATCTCCTCGACATATGTGTGTAAAGTAACAACCGAGTTCCTATTTAAAACTTCCACCTTCCCCCGAATAAGCAAAATGGACGTTCCTGTCAGCTGTTTCCGTCAGCTTCCAGAAAGCTGCAGGTGCGATTGCGCGTTGAAGAGGTTCGGTGAAGGAAGTTTTTGTGTAGCAGAAGAGGAGGCTTTGAAGGCGGAATCTTTGACTTTGAAAGAATTTTAAGATTTTTGTAGTCGAGTTTATGTGTTTTTTCTTAAGCATTTTAATTATTTTCAGCCGGAAAATACTGTATTTTATTTCTCCCTTATGTTTAAGAGCCAATTTTCGAGTAATGTGTTAAGAAGTAAGTTTTGATGCAGTAATAATGCAAAAGAAGGGTGAAAGTGTCACAGTGAAAAAAAGAAATATACACTTTATGGTGCACACACTTTTTTCGTTTGAATTCAGAATACATTTTCCCATTAAACAATTTGAATTTTCTTATATGATTTTATTTGCTCTCTTTAACGTCACTTTTACATTCTCAATTGCCATGTGTACAATGAGCCATTGTAATCCTTATAGAATTCAGAATACATTTTCCCATTAAACAATTTGAATTTTCTTATATGATTTTATTTGCTCTCTTTAACGTCACTTTTACATTGTCAATTGCCATGTGTACAATGAGCCATTGTAATCCTTATATAATGATATTGCACTTTTTTGTAGCTTGGATGTTCTAATGTTAAATTCCGATTTCAAGACCACTTCAACTATATCACACTCCATCTAGCCAGTCAATTTTAATACGGTCTATGGTGATAAGGTCCCTTTGCATTCACCATGAGCATGGTAAACAGCTGTTAAGTCATTAATATACAGTATGTATACAACATGGAAAAAAGTTATGAAAAGCTAATACCTTTGTAGTTTTTTGTTTCCAAACGTGTAACTTGATTCCATGCATGAAACAGTGCATTATCTCTAAATGAAAGGCGATAACGATTCCTTCAATTATTTTTGCTAATTACATGCTTCTATATTAACATTAAATGAGAGTTTGTTCTCTTTTTCATAAGGGCACAGAATTTGCTGACGTCGTGAACCCCAGTACCCTGTGTGCGTGTTAATGAAGCTCCGCCGGGAGACACTAAAACCCCAATTTAAAAAAAAGGAAAAAGAAACGCGTCCGCACTGTTTGTTCCTATTTGCTCTCCGTACACTATTCTGCAATGCAGGTGAAGGTTCACAGGTTCACGCAGACAGGGAAGATGGATGTCAACCAGGCCAAACAAGAGCATTTGCTGGCTTTAAAAGGTAATATTTTCGGGTTTTTTTATTGACATTGAAACAAACAATTGTATGATCTATATTTTTTATGCGTCCAAGGAGTGAGTTTAATTATTATGGTTAATTTGACTAGAACTTTATTACGGCCCCAACATAAATCCGCAATCGGTGTTCCGTCCGTAAACAGATAGCCAAGACAATTGCCTTTATTTAAAACAACCATGTATGAGTTTATAATATTTTGCCTTGTTTGATGTCAAGTCTTATGTCTCTGAAAATATATGTGTATTGTCCGAAAGTCTAATGGACTAATGTGTCTCGCATGGTTAGAGTCGTACAAAGTCCCGAGAAGTTTTTTTTTCTAAACGCCAAACATTGTTTTAAGTCAAATCTAAAATAAATATGCCCTCTGCGTTAATGATACTATGGATCAGACATAGTATATGTGGAACAAATTCTTCATTATAAAAAAAAGGACGAGAGGGATGACTTTTCATTTTTTTGCAGGTGATGCGCAGTTAGCTGTTAACGGGATATATGATTTGATGCGTTAGTTGTTAGGGAGCTGGTCATTCGCGGTGACTCAAGGATGGAGGCTTCGGCTGCTTTACTGTGATTGTTACCTGATCTTTTCACACCTTCACCATAATTCCGCTTCAGGTATTCTCAGCTGCCCCGCACTGGAAACTGGAAACCGACCGATGTGACAGATTTCTTGGTGTCCTTGAAATCCATAAGGATCGTCAGTTAAAGAAACACCGAAACCAAGTTCGGTAATTGCGTTCCGTGGATGAGCTAGTGATAGTATGGATGTAGTCTTGCATTACAAGAATCGTCAAGGTAACCTACATGATGTGTTGGAAATAGCTGAAAGGGCATTGGAAGATTTTCCCTGTGCTCCTTTGCCAAGATTTGTACCCTGGTTCCCAGATGATGCCAGCAAGCTACCGCTGAAACCCACAACGCGCCCACCAGTTATCTCGCCAGAGGAGGTGGAACAAATCAGGTGTCAGCTGAGCTCTTCAGCTCCTTTGGCGACTTCTCAAAGCTATGACTGCACAGAAGACCTGCTGGAGTTCTGCACGGGTTTTAAGAGGGCGAGAGCTCAAAGGGGCAAGGAGAGGGCGCTGTCTCTGCGCACAGGTTCGCCAAACTCCGCAGCAAGTGTTTCGAAAGAAGGAGGAGGGTTTAGAAGGTCATGGAGTGTTTCTCTTCCTGGGAGACTTCAGGAAGTTCTGCCTTTCTCCAGACAGCTCCAGGAAATATTGGAAGGCCTCCAGATCCACTCACTGCAGAGGGCCAAGTGGATAATTGAGGAATCGAACTGCCTCAGAAAAGAGATGGAATGGGTTTGGACTGTCCTGAGCAGGGCAGTGAGACATTCCAAACTTCCTTCTTGCAACGCAAATTTTCAACGAGATGTGGGGCAGATTTGGGTTTTCTGTGATATTTTGTATAGTGAATATATCGGAAAGTTTATGAAACAACAGTTGAACTTAACCGGTGAAATTAATTTAGTAGTCCATAAACATGGAACCATTTTTAGCATGTAGTCTTGATGGAAAATGAATGAATGAAAAATTTTTAATACTATGAACTGATTTCTAACACAATAGATGTTTTTCACCTATTTATTGTAATTATTTTTTTGTTAGACTTGTCAAAATAAACTCATCTCTAAATGCCACCCAATGTCCTGTATTAATACAAAGTAAAAATGTATCAAGAGAAATTCCATACAATTGAAAAGCAGCATGACAGAGTTGGGTCTTTTGCACTTTCTGAATATGAAACAATGGGGAAAAAATGGGAATCTTTGTGAACTGAATATTTCAATGCCAGTGATTACAATTGATATTTCAAGAAGAAGGAATATATATAGAGAGAGAGCTACGTGAGAGCTTCACCATGTTTTATTATTGTGTGTGAGAGAATTTTGTATTAAAGAGACAGTTTAGCTGAAGTTTGTACAAGGTTGCCTCTTCCACTTAAGCCGGAAAAACAGATTTGGATATTTGTGTCCACTAGTGTCTGCAACCTTAAGCTTAATATTGAATAAAACAAAAGGGAAAAACAGCAGAACATTTCACTATGGCATCACCGGTCTCCAAACGGGTGTGTGGTGAAACACTGAAATTACTGTGTTGGTCAGAGACATGCTGCATTTGGCATGTCATTAAAGACTTGTCTCCTCTCTACAGAAACAGCTGTGAACTCTTAAGAGTATTAGAGAGAACATAAAGAATGTGCATTGGCATAATTCAAAATTGTTTCATGGTACAGTGGTCAAAATAATACAGACATAAAGCAAATTAATTGGAAGAGTTGCATCTCTTAATTGTTCTAAAGTTGTTCCCATGTGCATTCCATTCTCTTAGGTGTGATACTAGACCAGGCTTTCAGAGAAGCACCATTAATAAAGGTGACAGATCACTCGCAAGTTAATCTGATAATGCCTGTTCTCTTGCAGTGATGCGATTGACAAAACCAACGCTTTTCACAAACACACCGGTGACATGTGAGGACCGAGATCTGCCAGGTACGCAACCCTGACTGAACAAACTGCACTGTACACACAGTACTGAAGGAGTGAGGAGGAAGGTTGGAGGCATTTCAATAAAATTACTTATGAGTTGTCTTTTAAAGGGGAACCGCAGTCCCAGTTTCTCAGACAAGTTATTAAATCTTGGTAAAAGAATAAATTAATTGACGGTTGGCGATCAAAAAAAGTTTAAAAATTTCGAATTAAGCACAAAATCATGAATTTTGTAAACTGCTGTAAATCACCAGGGTGTTGCAAACTTGCATTTGAGTTTCCAAGGATTGTGATATGGTGCGGCCCTTCCTGCTCCCTAGTTTCCGTCATGACTAATTTAATGTGATGTACAAGCAAATAAGTACAGGTACAGGTTCCAACATGATCTGCATGCAGGGTTAGCAAGTAAATAGTATTTGGTAAGCAAAACTCTCAAAGGTGAGTACAGAAATTTTTATTGTATTAAAAGAGATGTATTCACAAGTCCGTTTGTTTACAAATTCCTAATACAAGAAATTGTATATGGCCAATAAAGTAATCTTACAGTGTCGTATGGCTGGAATGCGTTACCGTTGCGTCATTCTGAATCGCAGAGCTTTTTTGTGATGTAAATCGAAGGCTTTACAAGTTACTGAGTACATAATACTTTTATTGTGGTTTGAATACATTCATCAATGTGGATTCTTTCTGACTCCAAAATATAAAACTAGCTTTACAGTTCCCCTTTAACAGTCACAGCTACCTGTGACAAAGGTAAAAAACGGTAATAGAAAGGTGTCTTGTGTGATTCTTCTCCAAGATTCCCTGATAATCTCAAAGATCTGACTTCTTTTTAAGAAGGATTATTATTGAATTTCTCAGAATGTAGTGCAGTGTTCCATAGAGTAATAATATACTGCAAGATAGGAGATCTCCTCTTTGTTTGTCCAGGCCTGTCAGAATATCAGGGTTACAAAGTTACCATACCCAACAAACAGGATCTACACACAGGCAGTTGCATCCATCCTTCCGAAAACAAAACTGAATGCATCCATGTGATCCCGGAATAAGTACAGTGATCTTCATGCCCACATAGAATGGTGCCACAGCTGGAGTGTTCCCAAGCAGGACACTCCACTTCAATTAAACTTTGAAGGTCAAAACAGGCTTCCTGCCACATGGATGATGCAATATTTAATCATACACTTGATGCATTGAAGCATCAGCCCAGATTAAACAGGGTCTGGAATTATGAATGGTACCACTCACTGTGACAGCAGGATTTCCTCACAGCAAAGACCTGTTAGAAACTTAATAGTCCGTACAGTCTAGGATGCTGCTACAGGTATGTGCTGGCCTCTGCCATCATGCTAACAAGTCATGTTGACGCAGTAAATGTCACAGAATCTGTCCAGATTCTGTGTGGTTAAGCGCAGATGAGGCGGTATGGGAAGCGTGCCGTTCCTGTGTGCCGGAATGACTCCGGCCCAGCCACCAGCAGCTGCGCCCTCTTGTGGTAAGCTTCTGACAACCGCTCTGATTGCCTTCGCAGGCGACCTTTTCAGCCAGCTAATGAAGGAAGACCCTTCAACTATAAAGGGGGCTGAGACGCTGATGCTCGGAGAGATGTTGACACTTCCGCAGAACTTTGGGTAATTTTGTGTTTCTGAACATAACGTTTATTATTTTTCTGTATTTGAACTGGAGTCCCAAACACTTTACAATCTTTTTTTTGTCAGTGTTTGTCTCTAATTTCCACATTTTTTTTTTGTATGCATATATTTTTGCCAGTTTTAAACTGAAGCCTAGGCCTTGCCAAATAATGCCTCTCTTCCTTGCCCAGAAACATTTTCCTTGGTGAAACCTTTTCCAGTTACATCAGTGTGCACAATGACAGCACTCAGGTTGTGAAGGACATATTGGTAAAGGTAAAGATACAGCATTCATTTTTACCTTCAATTTTTACTTCTGATTTCATTTGGAGTTTCATCATTGTTGCCTTGTATTGCTATACCTTAAGGCGACTATAGTCATTTTAAATTCATCAGATTTACATATAGATCGACACGCTTCGGCATTAAGACGTTTTTTCTTTTTCTGTGCTTTCTAACCTTCAGGCAGACCTTCAGACGAGCTCCCAGCGCTTAAACCTTTCAGCATCCAACTCGACTGTGGCAGAGCTGAAACCGGAGTGCTGTATCGATGACGTCATCCACCACGAGGTTAAAGAAATCGGAACGCACATGTAAGCTGCAGACCCACAATCCGCAAAGGCAGAGAGAGAAAAGCCTGAGTCATTTAACATACTGCATGACCACGGTTTGGATGTTTCAACATCATTAAAGCTTGTCCCCCCCCCCATCTTTTGTTTACTGTAGATTGGTTTGTGCTGTGAGTTACACCACTCAAACAGGGGAAAAGTTATACTTCAGAAAGTTCTTCAAATTTCAGGTGAGCTCTCAGGTCCTGGGCATTTTCTTGGCCTTTCTTTAACATTCAGGCTGATTTGTAATGCGCATTTATTGGTTTTGCACTCAGAGGTCCAGATTTCATCTCTAAACTATTTCACACATCCTCGACAGAAAGAGCTAAGCAATTAGCACAGCAGCCTGATGTGGCCTGATCGGTTTCTGTTAACAGCAAGCATTTCAATTCTTCGTTTTGAAGACACAACTGGTTTACGCTAACCCTTGTTTTCTTGCATGTATTTTAGTACTTTTCACATTAAGAATCTAGACCAATTCTCTTTTCTTACTTAAGTAATACCCTGTCATAGCTGGTTGGTTGTACAGAAGACACATTTCCAAGGCTGAGTGGATGTACAGCTTTGGAGTCTTATGGGTGAGCAAGCTGAGAAACCTGTATTATTCAGTCTGCACTCTTTTTTCACACAGGTTCTGAAACCACTGGATGTGAAGACCAAGTTCTACAACGCTGAAGTAAGATGTTTTCGAGCATTTTTCTGTGCTTAATTGTCCTCTTTCGATAAGACAGTAGGGTTTTTTTGTCATCTGTCGCTCTCCTGTGAAAGTTAGCATTCAGTTTCAGAATAGTGTTGCTTTAGGAAACGATAGGAAAATCTGTATATACTGTACATATAAAAAGATTAGATGGATTAGATCAAAATGCTCAAACCCATTAGTCAGCTTCACATTCCAGATGTTTCTTCTGTTTTCTGATGGAATATCGGCTCATTAAAACTCAGCTCGCTGAGTCTGGAATTTATAAGTTCTTGTTGGATCATAGTCTTCATTTCTTCTAGACCTTACACAGTAATACAATTTTGAAGCCGGTGTTGCCATTTATTTTGCTTAGCAATGCATTTTCAGTATTCTACCATCAGTTAAATTGTCTGTGTGTTGCAAACAGTACCAACCATTTATGTATAAAATTAATTTTTGTTCCTGTCATAATACCTTTCTTTTGTAACTTTTCACTTATCATAATTGTGATCTTTGATTAAATTTATTTTAAATATTTAAGTATTTTTATTCATATATTGTGGTTTTTGAGACATCTTTGTTGTGTTCAAATGCTGGTTCTTTTGTAGTTTGGGTTAAAACTTGTTTCTTCACGTTACTAAAGTGAAAGTATTCCATCATTATCATTCAGAGGCTTTGTAGATCAAAACATCAAAGTTAACCAAACAAAACTGTTATTAGCACTTAATTACATTAAAATATCAAAATATACCCAGAGAGTATTAAAAAAATAAAGAAATGAAAGAAAACACTGTAAAAGCCAAGAGTACTCTGTGTTGAGGATGAAAGAAGAATAATGTGTTAGTGGAGAACTCTGGCATCATTTACATGTTTTTGGGAGCTACTTGCTGAATTCTAAAGGTGAGCCTTCCCTTAAACAATGGATGCTTTAAAGATTTTTTTAAACATACACAAGGTAGCTTCAGGTTTAATAGCAGGAACAGCAGAAGATGTGTAAAAGAAAAAACGTGAATTTATGTTGACTGAAAATTTTGAGGAACAGACTGCAAATATCAGACATTAAATGTGCAGTTAGATTTACACCAGACATCTCATTCCGCTTTAGAGCTTTTAATAGTAGGACTTATAGTCTGACTAATATTTAGTGCTTCTCTCCATAAATAGGGTCACTGTATTCCAGTGTATACATCAGCTGTGATCGGATTATATTTTCTTGGATAGGAGCTATATACTAGAGGCTAGCACCTCCTCTTCTGTAAATGCTTAAAAAGCTAAATAGGGTAAGATTTGAACTTTTAGAGCTCACAAGAATTGGGATTATAAGAGTGGGATAAAAAGCTGACTTCAAAGAAACGCATGACATGACTAGACTGAAATTATAAAATAGAAAGTCAATTCAATTGCATGGGGAAACTAATATGAAGAGTTAATAGAGAACAAAGTAGAGCATTTTTAAATAGTTGAATATTTTAGAATATGTTTCCATGGAATCCCATTTAGTTACATTTTACATGCAGCATATCATTTTAAAAAGAACTGCTTTTTATTGTGCTCTTACCTTTTTGTTACAACACAGTGCCTTGTCTTCCCAAACTTCTATTTGTTTGCTTAATAATTATTTAGCGCAAAGGGCTTTTTATTTCAAAATTCGATGTAAAAACATTGTCATTTTCTTTAGCATGTAATCTTCATTCCTCTAATGTTTCTTTGTTTTATTTTCCCCATTAGAGTGACCTCAATTCTGTGGTAATTTATTTTTCTTCTCATTGCCAAAGCCTTCGCTTGTTAATGTTTGCTGCAGCATTAACTGTGTCTGTCTGGAATCGACAAAGTCTGAGAAGGGGGGAGATAATGGAAAAGCATCAAAAGGAACAGGACTGTTCAGTGAAATTCACGTTTTTAAAATGCGAGTGCCTGACGTGAATTCAGTAGTTATAAAAGCACGACTGCTATCTGGCATGTCTGTGATGCATTTGAAAGCTTTTTCATTATTTCGCTGCTGCTTTTTTGTTTCTCTCAATGCTTCCTTGTAATTTTGGCTGAAATTCAATCAAACATAGAAAACATTTCATGGGATGTGGGTGACACGGGTGCTAAAAGTAACAAGACGGGGTTGAATGAGGATTTACAGGTGGAATTGAGTAATTTCAGATTTCATGATTGCTTTAAAGCATGCTCTATCTAACTGATTACAATGGAAATCCTAAGTATAGTTCACACATCTTTGGGCTTTGATTGCGCTAGTTGTATACATATATAATGTACAATATTAGAAAATGTTGCAAATGATTTGTAAGTTCATTAATTTAGCAGTTTGAACAGTGCCGTGATTCCTCTGTTATTGCAGATTTTTGACATTGAATGTTTTCAGGTCTTCAACCAAAATCTATTAGATAAAGGGAACCTGAGTGAACAAATTACAATTTTTTTTTACTTATTTCATTTGTTTAATGGACAAGGTTATCCAACACCAATGGACACTGTGTGAAAAGGTAGTTGCCCAATTTAAATAGTTAATAGTTAATTTAAATAGTTAAATCAAGGGATAATTTAGAGTCAGCTGATTGAACACAGCCAGGCTTGATTACAGCCCTGCTCAATATAAACCTCACTTATTTTGACCCTTACCATCAGAGTCAAGTTGCCAGCACAAAGATTCAACAAGGACGTTGTGCCACAATCAATGAAAATACCTGAATAGATCAGAAAAAAAGTTGTTGATATCTATCAGTCTGGAAAGGGTTACAGAGTAATTTCTAAGGCTCTGGGAGTCACCGAACCACAGTGAGAGCCATAATCTCCAAATGGAGAACTCTTGGAACAGTGAATCTTCCCAGGAGTGGCTGACCTGCCAGAAGGTCTCCAAGGGTGCAGCATAAAATCATCCAGGAAGTCACAAAGGATCCCCAAAAAAACACATCCTAAGAACTGCAGGCTTCTCTTGCCTCAGCTAAGGTCAGTGTTCAGGACTCCACAATCAGAAAGAGACTGGGCAAAAATGGGCTTCATAGGAGAGTAGCAAGGCAGAAACCATTGCTAACCAAGAAGAACATAAATGGTTGTCTCTCATTTGCCAAGAAGCACCTGGATGATTCCCAAGCGTTTTGATAGAATGTTCCATGGATAGATGAGTCAAAAGTGGAACTTTTTGGATGACCTGGGTCCCATTATGACTGGCGTAAAGCAAACATAACATTCCACAGTAAGGACATCATACCAACAGTCAAACATGGTGGTGGTAGCGTGATGGTGTGGGGATGCTTTGCTGCCTCAGGACCTGAACGACTTGCTATAATTGAAGGAACCAAGAATTCTGCTCTGTATCAGAAAATTCTTAAGGAGAATGTTCAGTCATCTGCCCGTGAGCTGAGGCGTAGTTGGGTCATGCAGCAAGATAATGATTTGTTTTGGAGTGAGCTAGTCACAGTCCAGACCTAAACCCAACAGAGATACTGTGGCAGGACCTGAAACGAGCATGTTTCTGAATTAAAGCAATTCTGTGAGGAAGAGTGGGCTAAAATTTCTCCACTGCGATGTGAAAGACTGATATTGATTTATACTGTAGGAAGCGTTTGGTTGCAGTCATTGTAGCTAAAGGTGGAACAACCAGTTATTAAGTGTAATTACTTTTTCACACAGGAGATATGGGTGTTGGATAACTTTGTTTATTAATAAATGAAAAAATCACAATAAAAAAGTTGTTTGTTCACTCAGGTTCTCTTTATCTAATATTAGAGTTTGTCTAAAGATCTGAAAACATCCAGTGTGACAAATATGCAATGATAGAGGAAATCAGGATACTTTTTCACGGCACTGTAGCTGTGTGAAAGAGATTCGTGTTGGGACCAGGGTACAATATTTCTTTCAGAGGAAATAAATACATTGTCTATGACTTGACAGGACATGTCTTTTCAGTCATATAACATACTGAAGCTTGATGTTCCTGCTGGTGGTGATTTTCACCAACTGGTTCCAGTTTTTACTTTTTCACAACTTTCATCATTGTTGCCTTGTAACTCACTGCTTGGCAACACCAGGTTTCAGCTTTTGCTAATGAAAAGTCTTCAGGTTAAAGAACACAGCTGAAAAAGGAGACTTATCATTTATAGTGACCAAAACCTTTTTCTCAAGAGAGATTTATGCAGCAAATAATCGACAAAGACACCTGGAAATGTAATAACCAAAGTAATTCTCGACATCTGTTCCGTTGTTAATTACTAGAGTTTGATTTGCAGGCATGAACTAATCACAGCCCTCTCTTTCTGTGAGTGTTACTGTAATACTAATACACAGTTGGTGACAATCAGCCTGAAAACTCCGTGCTTGGAGCTCTGACTGCATGGTTTGACCCTACAGACAGATGAGGTCTTTCTGGAGGCCCAGATCCAGAACATCACCACCTCCCCCATGTTTATGGAGAAGGTGTCCTTGGAGCCCTCAATGATGTACAACGTGACAGAGCTGAACAGCGTCTCCACAGGGGAAGAAGGGTGAGCCAGGCTACATTTGACTGTGTTGAAAAACAGAAAGGAGAAAAAGGTTTTTGATTGTAGAGCCTTCTTTGGGTGTGACATTGTGTTTCTCCTTTCTATTTTGTTAGCTTACTGATATTTATACTTTCATACCTGGGAAATTTCTTCGTGTCAATTTCTGAGTTGCACGTGTCTTTTTGGTGTATCCATTCATTTTCTAACTGCTTTATCCAGTGCAGGGTCATCAGTCCCTATCCTGGCAAGGCAACGGGTGTGAGGAAGGGTACGGGTTGTCAGTCCATCACAGGGCACACACAGACATGCACACACTCATACCAGGGCCAGTTTTTCCAGAAGTCAGTTAACCTACCAGGATGTCTTTGGACGGTGGGAGGATAAAGGAGCACCCAGAGGACACCCACACAAACCCAGAGAGAACATACAAACTCCATAAAATGCTAGTCACTGCACACCCATACCACATTTTTAATTATCAATTGGCCTTTGAACCCATCTGAACCTAATTATTTAACTGAATGGCATGTAAAAAGTACCAGGTGTTGCTTCAGTTTGAGAATGTGGAGGCAGTGGGTTGGTATTCGTACACAATGTCTTGTGCAGGAGTAGCCTGTAGAGAAATTCAAAATTCAAAGAAAATTTTAAGAAGAGCAAACGTTTCTTTGGGACTATTTACTAAATGTTTTTTTTTTTTTTTTTCAGAATATCCACCTTTGGAAAGATGTCTTACTTGCAGCCCCTGGACACTCGCCAGTACCTGTACTGCTTGAAGCCCAAGCCCGAGTTTGCTGAGAAGGCTGGCGTGATTAAGGGGGTCACAGTGATTGGCAAGCTTGACATAGTGTGGAAAACCAACCTGGGGGAGAGAGGGCGACTCCAGACCAGTCAGCTCCAGAGAATGGTAAATGAAGGGGGGTACAGTGCATCCTGTATCTTGTCTGGTTCCACAGGCGTCCTTGATCTGAAAGGACGGCTTTGTTAGGATAGAAGAGCTGGTGACAGCCACGTCTCCCACTGCAGAATTCTCCTTTCCAGTCACGTACTGTAGCAGTCTTCTCTTCACTGCGTAATTGACATTTGTCTGTCCAGACTTCTCGAATGTGTTACACCATCGGCAGAATCTGCAAAATTGTTCTTGTCCTTTAATCTGGTAACTGTCTGAAGTGGAGCAAACTCAAAGGTCAGTACAGCCTCCTGTCTGGGAGAGCTTAATCTGAAGCAGTTCATAGGAAGTAGCAACAGCATAAGATGTGGTATTTATCAGCAACTCCTCCAGGATATTGGAACTTGGGGAAAAAAAGCCTCAGTCAAATTTTTCTCCAGCATGTGAAATGCATGATCCATAATGCATTTAAAATCTGATCATCGAAATGGCCAGTCTAAGATTTTCCACATATTTCTAATAATTGCCTTCATTGCATTTGTCCGTTTGTTTTGGGTCATTGCTATACTGTATGGTCAAATGCTACCCAGTTAGTATTGAAACATTTTCTCCTACATAAGCAGACCAAAATGTTTCCGTAAATGTCAGAATATATTTAATCCTTTTTGCTTTTTGCTACCACGCTACCAATGTGTGGTAGTTTTTAATTGAATCAACAAAAAAGACGAGCTAGCCAGTTCAATGAGATGAAACATGGAGCTTCTCTAGTTTCTTTCTTTCTCCACACGCTAAACTTTCCTTCACTTTTGGAAAGTTTATCTTGGTCTCCTCTATCTATAGAATTTAGTTGCAAAACTCTTGTTTCATCATGGTACTTCAGAGGAAATTCTGGCTTCTCTATTCTTGGTGCTGATGAGAGCTTCATATTTTGCCTGAGAAGATGTTCACAGCTCTTCTATGGGTGCATAGTTAGCCAACAACAAACATCTGACTAACTAGAGATGCCCCTTAGCCAGTTATCACAATACTTTATTAATGTTGATTCAGATTTAACAATGATCAGATTGATTACTCGATACTTAATATATAAAATATAAATCAATGTTTGGTAGTTTTGTTATACAGAACTTGTCAAATAAATATTGAAAATTCTGGAACAGTCTTTCTAAACTGAGATTTTGTGCCAGTGCTAAATTCTCCAATAGTTTTTTGGGTTTCTTGAAGTATAACTTGGCACCTTAAACTTTTGATAGGAGCAAAGAGAAAAAGAAATCATTAATAAGCCATAATAAGTCAATGTTGGAGAGTTCTAAACCTGACACCCTAATGTAGACTTCTTATAATGGTTGGTTTAAATTATATCTTAAAATGAAGTTACTAGACTACTGTATCAAGTACAGTATACAGGTAAAATTCAGAGCTTTGCAAACCTTTTTTCTGTTTCCCTTCTAAGGCCCCTGGCTATGGCGATGTGAGGCTTTCTCTGGAGTCGATACCGGACACTGTCAATTTAGAAGAACCTTTCAACATTACATGTAAAATAACAAACTGCAGGTAATGGATGTCTTTGTAAACTTTCTCAGAACACACCACACATTCTGTGAAAGGCAACCTGCAATAGTTGTATTTGTCAGCCATGTTTAAGACTGTCATTACTACAGGTGTGTATTTTCACAAAATTATGATAATTGAGTGCCAGAACCCCCCTAAGTTTACTTTAAACAGTCTTATACCAGCTCGCTAGGTATCTGACTGCTCTGAATATTCCTTTCCCATAGAACTCACGGATATCTGTGCTGCTTTTGACAGGCTGTTTATTCACAGCTACAGACTACACAAAGGTTGATGAGCTCCAGGCCTGAACAAAAAGGTTTCCCTTGTTCTTTCTAGAAATTTGGGTAAATTGACAAAAGCATAAGAAAACCAGACCAATGTACCAGCTAATATACCTCCCCCACTGTATCACATATGGGGTGTTGCATAGGCAGCTGTTTCAGTGGGAGCATCTTGTTCAGAGGACAAACTTGTTTTCGAGTGGGGTGGGGAGTGCTTTATCACATCTACAGAACAATGCACCGACTGGTCCTAATGCCACTACATAAAAGTACAATCCCAAGTGTAGTACATAAATTATTGGGAGTAGGGAGAAATTTCAAACTGTTTTGGACATTGAGGACAACGTTTCTCCTCCGTTCACATAAATTCTCTTATCTCCAATTTCCCATAAATTACACGCTTTGTATTATTCCGCATGGTCTTTCCTTGCTAAGCTATATGTCATTAACAGAAGAGTATTAAATAAGCACTGCACTACACAGTGTAACTCATCATTTTGTATTGAACATCCTGTTACCTAGCAAACAACCCAGGTTTCTGCTGCCCTAGCCAGCTTTGAAACAACCATACTCACCGGCTCTTCCTTCGCATTAATGGTCTCCATTGGAATCCTCTGTTTTCCCCAGTAGCGAGAGAACAATGGACCTAGTCCTGGAGATGTGCAACACTGGCTCGATCCACTGGTGTGGAATTTCAGGAAAGCAACTGGGGAAGTTAAGCCCCAGTTCCTCTCTATACCTCACACTCAGACCCTTGGCTTCAGTCCAGGGCCTACAGGTAAAAACACTAAATGTGTATTTCAACCCTGTTCCAGTTTCCTCCTTTGATCATATGTCCCGTCCTAAATGTTGAACCACCATCTTAAAAAATTACATTGGCATAAATCATGCTGTTTCCCCAACATCTTCAGAAATGGATCTTGCAAAGTCGTACAACTTAAAAGCAACGTCCCACAGTGGAAGCGTGGCATATTTTGAAGTTGTTTAAATGTGAGCTTAAGTCAGTCAGACGTCCACGCAAAACCCAAATGATTAAAAAACAGGGATATGGAAGTGAAGGAGAATACAGCCTTGAGATGTTTGTAGAGATCATTTTGGGGTGTCTGTGCCCAATGTTTTATGCATGGTCATGGTGTGCACATACTCTGAAGATGCTAATTAAGAAACGTGCTCGTTTTTAAAAGCTCATTCTTTTCATTGGCTGCTTGAATGTTTTTTGGGGGGTTTTACCCTTTAAAATGTTGTGAAGCATGAAGACTAGACTAAAACTCAGTGGGCAAGGACAGATCAAAAACCTAGTCTCATGTTTATGTGACATTCTGCCAACAGTTAATTTCATAAACTTTCTATAAATAAATTAGAAACCCTGTGGTCAGTTTTCTACAATATGTATGACAAGTTTGTATCATGCTTGTTTGAAAGGAAATGACTAATTCATTATGAATTAGACTAGTTCATCATGCATGTGCATTAGTTTAATGTTTTTACACCGTTCCCAGTGTTTAAGCTGATTTCATGTGTTAAATGGCTTTTGTGTCACTTTCATCGCATTTGTTTCTCATCCTTGTAGAGCATATCTGGTTTGAGGCTGACGGACACCTTCTTGAAAAGAACTTATGAATATGACGATATAGCACAGGTGTGCGTAGTCTCTTCCTGCTTGAATCGAGAAAGCTAAACTTCATGGCCATGCATGGCACTGACGGATTTCTGTGGACCAACTGTGGAGCTATCGGCACCAACCCTCACCTTCTTTTATTAAAAGACTCTTTAAAAAATCTTAATGTTTTAAAAGTGGAATGTTTTAGCTTTTCCAAACTGTATCATGATTTTAAATGTATAAATGTGAATAAAGTCTTATTAAATGTAAGTCAGGTCTATATCCATTTGCAACTTTGTCATGGCTAAATTTCAGAAACATTTGTCTCGCCCCCCCCAAACTTCAAAGCATTTTTAATGTTCCTGGTAAATGAAGCACACATACAGCACAACAGAGACCTAATTTTAATTATTTATTTATCACAAAAGGCATGTTATTGTTTGGATCAGCATATTGTTTCTATCCCCAGTTTTTTAAATGGTATTTAAAATGTTTATCTTAAAAATTACATTTAATGTTTAAATCACAGTGTAGTGCACAACTCATGGACATAATGTGGTATTTTGCAACAAAACATAATTTGCTCATATAATGTGTATCTAAGTTTCACAGCAACAATCAGTTAATGACATTTTGGTGTACCTCCCACTGTAATGGGACTCTTATAATTACAGCCTTCCAAAGTAGTCTGAGCATACAGTAAGTATCACGTCCTGTTAAGGAACATGCAAAATAATGCTAAGAAGCATTACAATTCTGACATACATTTATTTTCCTATGATAGTATAGGAAGCTATTTACAGAAATTTTAAAACGGTTTCCAAACATGGAAGGAAGTGGAAAATGTACAGTGACGGGCAAAATACGTGCTACCTACAGCTGCAGTCCTGAAAATAGCTGGGTACAGTACATTACCTTGCTACAACATAATACACATTTAAAACCATTTCAAATGTTATCAGACTAACGTGTGATGTACAGTCTGCTCTGTGGTTTTTTTTTATAATGTGTTGACTAGTAAATTGTGCAATGTTTTTTGTTAAAGGAGATCAGCATTCATTGTAAAGCTGTTAATTCACCGTAAAATGTGCTCGCCCTTTGCAGTCTGCTTCATTCTAGCGCTGCGGATATCCTCTACTGGGGTCTTGACATTGTAATCGTGAAACGTTTACTTTGTATCTCTTTATCACTGCAAGGGGAAAATGTGCAATTAAAGGTCAATTCACAAGTGCAATTAAAATAATTCAATAATTGGTGTGGCTGATAAACATGATTGCACATTCGCATTTGTTCATGTATTTAGATAATCTCCAGCAGTTTAAGCAATTATTTATTAATGACTACTGAACATTTATCACAAAGTCTTCCGTATTTTAAAGGCTACATTATAACAACAGAAATAAGGTCAAAGCTGTCAGAAAACTGCACAAACGTACAAGGAAACTTGAAAATGTGTGCAAAAGTTAACCCAAATCAAGGTCTTAAACCATCCTGCAAAGAGTTAACAACACTAACATGTCCAAACATCCCAATGTTTCGAGAACCAGGGACTTTTGATTAAACGCTCATGAATTCCCCCGAATTGCTCGTTCAGGTGATAAAGCGGGAAGCAGTGGAGATTTAAATTAGGAGCTCTAGGTATAAATCTCGCGTATCCTTCGCGTTCTGGAAGTGCGCTTCAGGCTGCTTGAGTGAGCTGGCAGAGCCCGCGGGCCCTGGGCCTACCTGCCCCTGATCAGGAGCGCTCCTCCGCACTGCCGCTGAAGGACCTGCTCCGCACGTGGTTTCTCAGCTGCTCGATCAGCTCCGGGTTCTGCTGCTGGATCTGCTGAGCGAACTGCTGTCCGCTGCGGAGGAGAATTTTTTTCTATTTAAGAGACCCGAGTGCGCTCAAAGTCTGAATCTCGGGGCTGAAATCAAAGCTAGAGAACTCATCAACGATCGCGGCACTCACGCTTCAATGAGGCTGGATATGTCCGATAGTCCCCCGACCCCAGCTGCTGGACCGCCGACTGCGTTCGACATCATTCCAGACATGCTGCTCACGAGGAGAGGAGAAGATGAGTCTCCTTGCAACAAAGTGCTCTTAAAGACTGTATAAGTACAAATCAACACTTAAGCACTGACCGAATGGAAGTCCAAATAAACTAGCTTTACTTACAGCTGTTGCACTTGGGGGTTCTGCATTACACTTGCAGCCTGAAAACATCAAATCAAATTTGGACAAGAAAATGGGAAAAGATTGCCGTTAAAGACCTTAAACAAAGGAACTGGGAATGAAAGATGAGACCCTCATTGCAGCATAGACCGATTTCTAACTACATTCTGCCAATTTTAGAAAGGCAGTATAAATACGACTAATTTTTCATGAAAAAGCAGTTTTTTTTAGTGTCCTAAAGCAACATTGTAGATAAACTTATACTCTTTGATGAACCATGAACAAACCCAAAGCTAGCATGATCATGATCAATGTTTACCATTTAATCCAGTTTGAAAACAAAATGGTTAACATTGATGTAAAAATAACAGCAAAACAGTCATTTTCCAAGAGAACCATTCTGTGAAAGCTGCGGTCAGATTTAATTGAGTGTAATAGTTCTAGAAGGATGGAATAATCTTAAATAAAATGTGATTAAAGATGATTAGAACATTACAATTAGGCATTATAAATTACTATTATTGCATTCAAACTACACAAATACCATGCACAATGTCTTTGAAAAGAATTCTAAATGTGTGCTTTGCATTGACGAATCTATGAGTGAAGAAACCTAGAGAAAGATTTACTGAGGGAGAAGTTAAATATTTTTAACTGAGCTTGGTTAAGGACTATGCTTTGGAACTAAGAATTAAGCCAAGTCACATGACTCTTGTTCTTACCATACTGATGAAAGCAGGGTTGTTTATGAGACTTGCCATATCAAATCCAAGCCCAGTGGCAGTCTGTAAGACAGACAAATTCCTGCACTCAAGATTGAATTCTCCAAATAACACACCTGCAACTACTTAAGTTGAATAATATTTAATAGCAGCTTGCAGTAAATTATTTTTCAGACTAAATCTACTAATCTTGTTTGAAAGTACATTCTTAACATGATCAAGATAAATGTCAGGGAGATGTCACCTAAAGTCTTCATGCTATAAACAAAATATAATGGAATCAAGTGTAACCACAAACCACCTCTGTGCACTTTTATGAGACTGGAAATTGGGGGTATTAAAATTAGAGACTATAGCCTTTAAGCCCTATTTGCTTAACACAATGGTTTTTTTTTTCTCAAAGGGATAATGGAAAATAATAAGTTAAATCTACAGGCTATAAATTTAAATCCAAGGAAACATACTTCTTTTTAATTTCTTTTTTTTGTCCAGTAAAAATTCAGTGTTGTTGATTGTGTTTTGTTGTAAGTGTTGTCGTATTTATACTTACTGGACTTGAGGCTTCCTTCAGCTTCTGCTCTGCAATTTTCAGGTTCGATTTATAGGTGTCATTATCTGGATCCAGTACTAAAGCCTTCTTGAAGTATGTAATGGCATCTGTATATTTATTCATTGCAGTCAGGGCTAGACTGTGACAGGGATACATAGACATTTTCAAATGTGTGGACCTGCTCACAAAATAATAAAATATAATCTTCAGAAGAGATGAACAATTAAGCCTGAGATTAATCTTTGCTCTGTTGAAGTCTACAGATCTAAAGAACTGGAGATTGTTTTAGAAAGGATTTGGTTTATTCGTGGCTCTTTATACTCTGCAGTAATTATTCTGAGAGTGCTGCAACACTTGGTATTGTGTTTTTAATGCCTCTCACTATATAAAGCAGCTTTTAAGAGTCAAGAGTGCGCTGTCTGACCCTGTTACTAAATATAACTGGAAAGGTGAAAAGTTTGACCCCCATTCATTCAGCATCCACATCTCCCAACTTTTTTATTACCAACAACAAATGTAATCTCTTCACTCAAGACACAAATCCTTGTTTGTAGTTTCAGGTTCTAACAGAGGTTACTTAAACACAATCATATAATACAGTATGTTTTATCTCACAAGCTCTGGGGTGTGTGTTTACTTGTTTAGTCAAATGAAAATCACTAGAAGCAGAGATCATTAGGAGCTGAGGGCACAGAAATCTACATTTTGATGGTTTAGTAGTTTAAATAACAATCAAGTTGAATTTCCTTTTATTTATAGCATGTGGATACACTGCTATGCATACGTTTGAGACATTCAGGAGTTACACTATACACTATGTACATTTTATCAGCATCACCAATTTACTCAAAGGCTTTACTCTCGTAGGTTACATGTCACGTTGTAGTAGCTAATCCATCAGGTGTCCCACTTCACACAATTGTGAAGCTGAAATATTAGTTTAGGGAATAACAAAATAAAGATATATCAGTATTAACTGTTAGGTTAAAAGAAAATAACTAAAACAGTAGTAGACATTTGCCATAGAATTGTGTTCCTGCTCTAAACAGAGGAACCTCAGTGAAATAACTTTTATCGCTCAAATTTCAATCTGTGGTGCCCAAAGCCTAATTAACAAGTAATCAAACAAGTACTGGAAAATCCAAATCACTGACTAGACAAGCAATACTTGGAAGGTAATCAGGTTAACTTGGCTAGATGGGCTGAAAGGCCTCCTGTCATTTTGACAAGAACAGAAAGAAGACAGTAATTGAATTGACAACGGAACTGATAAAAAGCCTCACCTTCTTGTGTCCATCCTACAACAGCAGGAATGAGACTCTTGAAACCTGACTTAAAATGAAGTATTGGAGTAAGAAAACCTTTGTAAAAATGGGGAAATGAACTGCTAGTATGTTAATGTGTACTGTATGTTAAATTAATATGCTAAAATAGACACTGGAGCACGGAAATTGCACTATGGATCACTGGTCAAAGCTCCTTTGGACAAATAAGCTAAAGAGTCAGTTATTTGTATCTTACTGAATATAATATGTGAGAGGTTTCAAAAGACCTTTGCTTCAAGCCTACAGCTATGCATGGAGGAGGTTCAATTAAAGTTTAGGGATGCATATGCTCAAGTGATCCTGGGAAAATACTTAAAATGGATGTTACATTCAGTACACTTTTTGGCCCTGACATCCTAATATTGCACTCGGATTCCATAGATAGTAGTTTCACATCTCGGACTCCTCAGCCAAGCACATACAACAAAAGTCCTAACCTGAGGTTCCTCCCGTACTAAGCGGGTCTGCTACTGCAGCAGCACACCACCAGTATTGTAAAACTAACCTGCCTCCTGATGGTCTAAACCCATTAGCTGAAATAAGTCAAACAAATCTGAAATGGGGGGAGGACACTGCTGACCTTTATCACATGGAATGGACTCATCAAAGCCCGGACCTCAAATATCTCTGCAGATGAGACTACTGTATTTGGACTCTTCGGAGAAACTTCAATAATAATGAAGGTTTCTGAAAGTGTCCTTACAAGAGTGGTGATAAAGGAACAGGACTGATGTGCACGCTGGTCTTCATTTGGAAGGTAAGTTGTGTATGCATAATAATCTGACTAGTGCAATCTGCACAGCGGCTTTTCTAACCTCTCCCTCGGCTACCCCGCCCTTTGCCAGCTTTAACCGGGGCTCTCCTGTTGCACGGCTGGCCATGATTTCTAAAATAAAAACCTCCACATGTTCCTTGGATCCTATTCCTACACCTCTGTTCAAAGCCCGCTTACCTGTCCTGATTCAGTTTGTCACCGACCTGTGAAATAAATCCCTCGAGACCGGGGCAGTTCCAGCTCTGCTCCACACCACTGCCGTTACTCCCCTCTTGAAGAAATCTAACCTTGGTCTCCACCTGCTCTCCAGCTACAGGCCTCATCTCCCGCCTCCCTTTCATCTCACAGGTTCTTGAAAAGGCAGCAGCTACTCAGCTACAGTTCCACACCAATTCCCCCAACTCTCTGAAAAAGCCCAGTCAGGTTTCTGACTCTTCCACTGCACAGAGTCTGTCCCTGTGAAAGTGTTCAACTTCAAATGGCTGCTGATTCTGCATTTCTATCCATTTCTATTATTTTTCTACTTGATCTCTCAGCAGCCTTCGACACTGTGGACCACAACATTCTTCTGCAGAGACTGAAGGACTGTGTTGGACTGCAAGGCACAGCTCTGAAAGGGTTTCCTCCTATCTTTCCAACTGGCAGCAGTTTGTTTCTGTTGGGGAAACAAGTTCAGAGTTCTAACCAGTGACTTGCAGTGTCCCCTTGTGGACAGTATTGGGGCCCATCTTATTCCTCTGGGTCACTGGGTCATTTCACTTTCCCAGCTATGCAGATGACACACAGCTGTATATTAACACCTAAACCTGGCATGTCCACTTCTTTGGAAAATGTAAACAGCTGTCTGGAGATCAGGATATGGCTGAGCCTCAATTTTCTCATGCTTAATAGTACAGAGGCCTTGCTGATAGGACACCTAATCAGATAGCCACTGTAACTACAGTCCCATCATTAAGGGAAATGTTACCTCTATCCTCAGAAGTCAGAAATTTGAGTGTGAAGTTTGATGCTTCTTTTAGTTTTTCAGATCATATAAAAAAAACACCTGTAAGTCTTCATATTTTGTGATAAGAGTGCTACGTGAAGCTATACCTACTTCTGGATGACAAGTACTTAGTTTTTGGTTTGTATATGACAATGAAGCAATATTTGTATCATTTGTGAAGAAAAGGCACATTAAAGTTATTATTTATTTCACAGTCCTCCAGTGAGTTATCTTACTATTTCAGCCCATGTGTTAATCTTACAAAAATCATTAAAAAGTCCCTTCAACCCTGAACACTGGTAGCTAAAACTCAAGATCACTGACCCAGCTTTAAATATCCATCCCCAATGCTGGGCAGATAATTGTGTCATTAAGTGAGTACTGTAAGTATTGCTTTTGTGATGCAAATTAAAGGCCAGTCAGTCTTCGTTTTGGATTTGTGATGCTCCTCACAAAGGAGCATAACAAATCCAAAATCCTCTGTGAGGCAACTTGAATTTTTAGACTTAGTAGAAAGAGGTGGCTCATGGGTGCAGATTGCTCCTTCTATTGATAGTAGCTAATATATCTCATCCAGATGTTGTCTGAAAGAAGCCAGGGTATCACCTTCAACAATATGGCAGGGTAGCTGGTTCCAGGTTCCAATACAGACCCCTTTGTGTAAAAATGTTTCTCCTGTTCGGAGTTTTAAATGCAATTCCTCACAGTTAACACTTACATTCTCTGGTTATTAATTCATGGCTAATTCTGAAGAAGTCCACTGGATTGACACTGTAAAAGTATTTAAAATCTTTAAATACATCAGTCTGTTTCCCTTGTAGTCTCATCTAATCAAGATTAAAAAGATTCAGCCTGTCAGTGTATGACGTTCCTTTAATTCCACAAGTTTCTGTGATCACTCCTCTCGGGACTGACTGGACTATGGAGAGACTATTATTGACCAACCTGTCAGTAGAGGCCTATAAAGGGGCTTCTTTCGCCTGCAAATTGGCATACTTGGGGTAACTAGTTAATTAGATTATAAGTAACATATTGAAACCATGTTTAGTATGATGAGTGATGTTGGCATATATAGAATGCCTTACAGTGTTAGGTGGTGGTTAAGTCAGTTAGCAGTCTGCTTCACAGTTTCTTTTATTTAAAGACTGTCAAACTCTCTGCAATAAAGCCTCCCCCAGTGAAAGAGTTACCATTATGTGTTTTCATTTTCATGTAGTCAGTTAGCAGGTTCCTTACTGAATTACATTAGTTCATTGGCATATAGCAGGAACAGCAGTGATCCTAATAGAGTTCCTTTTGGTACTCCACTATTTACCCCAGTTTGAGCATTTTCCCCTTAATCTGTATTCTGTTTCCTATCCATTGACCAACTATCTATTCCAAAAGCATTTCCTTGAACACTGACTGCCTGTGATTTAAGAATTAATCTTTTAAAAGGAACTTTATCAACAGCCTTTGGAAAATTATATGATGTAAATATAAGTTCTGTTACTATGCTTTACTGCTGTTGCTTAATGTCAGAATTATACATTTTCTGTTGGTGTTCTATATTACAACAATAGAAAATACATTGTAACATTAAAATACAGCTAGTGTAGTTTTAATATTTTGTACATTTAAAAGTTCAAATAAAAATCTCTGGAAATGTTTACAACCTTTTACAAAATGTATGAATTAGCAAAGGTGTATTGTATCATTACTATTTATAATCTGTTTTTCCTCCCAGAGACTGACACCCAGTCCAGATATCAATATTCAGCAGTATTTGTTTCTCATTTTTTGTTTGTAATCCCATAAGAACAGGAATTTTTACAATTGAAAGAAGGCCTTGCAGCGCACAAAGTTCATTTGGTAGTTAAATGGCCTGAGGATCTCATCCAGGCATTTTTTTAAGGCAGGTTCTAAGCTTCAACAACCTCACTGAGTGGCCTGTTCCCTACTCCCACAACTCCTTGTTTAAAGATGTATATCCTGTACCCAGCAAGTAACTTTCCTAATGCGATCAGTGTGGAAACTGGCTCCAGACAGCAGAGGACTCACCCCATTCTTCCGTAGGCTTTGCTGTACGTCGGATCTATTCCTATTGCCCTCTCACAGTCATTTGTCGCTTCCACAAAGTTCCCTAGTTTACTATGAGCTGCAGCCCTGGGGAGATAACAGCAGCGTCACAAACCCATTAACTTTCTGTGACTCTGAAATGAAACAGAAACATTGCAGCCTGCTAAAGTAAACTCTCAATTACGCCACTGCATTTTCTGCTCCCGATGATAAGTAATGAGGGTGTTTCATCCTTTCTGTTTTTACCTGTTACAGTAATAGACTGCATTGTTCAGGTCCAAGTCAATGGCTTTTGTGTAGCACTCAATAGCTGAGCTGTAATTCTCTTCCTTCATATGATTGTTTCCTAAAAGTAGACAGAGGGGGCAAATCAGGCATTTTAACTGGATAAAAACACTTTATCACATTCATGTCGAAACGACCTTCAGAGAAGCAATTCAGGTACGGACTAACTACAATTCAGACAAACCTAGCAACAGTTAGAGTGGTGTATAGCTTAACACTTTGTAGTTACCAGTCTGCACCTATAAAGGCACAATTTACGTATAGGAGACCTACAGTACATGTTATAGTTATTTAACATTTAGCGTGACAATGGGTCATATTAAGTCCAATGTTAAATGCAAACCCAAGATCAAATAACTGGAAAAAAAAAGATTATTTAAAACTAAGGTCTAGCAGACACAAAGAAAGATGTTCCATCCTTTACGCTTGCTGTTTCTGCGTTTTTAGGAAGAAATCAACTTCCTGGAGTTAACCTGTCCTTTGCTTTTGTGTAAACTGGAAAACACTATGCAAGTTCACTAGTCGTGTGACTTTACAGTCATGTGATATCTTCTGCAGAAGATTTTGAATACTGGCAAAAATTATGAAGTCACAAAGTTTTAAAACAACTCTAAGGATTTCAGTAAGACTACGCGAGGCTCATTCAAACAAACTATGTCCTAGATAGTATTTAATATAGGACAAGAATTTCTGAACATTATTGCCAATAGTTTTCATATTCTTTTAAAATAATAACTACATATGACAGATTCAGGATGACAAACTTTGAAAACTAAGTTACATATAACAGAGCTAGAGTTATTTTTTTCTCTTTTATTGTGTACCCACAATTACTGTTAATATAATATATGTTAATATGGATATACTGTACTTCTTCAATGCTCCTCTCTTGACAGCTTAAGTAAAATAAACCAATTGAGGTCAATGATATTACAAAATACCATATCACCTGCATTCCCACAAAGAAAGATTATTAAAGGCTGTTTAGGTCACAGTTTAAAGAAACAACTAAATCTGAAATGAATCTACTTTCTAAAAGCTTTTGAATGGAGTTCCGTCGATTGGCTATCGCTAACCACAAGCAAAACTCATTAGTACTTTTCTGCTACTGCCACTTCGGAATTGATAACAAGAATGTCTGACACCACTGCTGTACCTTCATTCTTTAGCTGTTCAGCCCTATCTGCATCTTCTGGGGAGGCAGAGATCTCCGGAATGGACAAGTTGTCATTCTTTAAAAGGCAATAGAAGGCAAAAAATAATAATAAAAATGACGACAATTCAGGTTTTCAATGTCTGTGAAGCTCTGCAAAACATCACGCAAAGCCTGATATCCGCTGAGGGATCAGCCAATAAACATGCTAAAAGAGCCAAATGGCCTTACACAGAGGTTGTAAAATGGCTTAGTTAACAAAACATGACAAAACGTCTAGCCTACACGTGCCACCTAATTTCTTCAAGGACTATGAATTTGCACATTGAAGAATTGAAAAGATGAACCATGCAAGTCTGAATTGAGTCTTTCTGAGGACATACTGATTTTTCTTGCTTAATGATTTAAGTTTTTACTAGCAATTGCTGACCTGACTGTGTTTGTATGTGGAAAATCCTTTGGTTAAGCATAACCTTTTTTTTTTACTTTACTACCCAATACCTAGAACTGGAAAAGTCATTTTAAAGTTATGTTTTCTGCATACACTAGGTAATGACGGAGAGAAGTACTTGTTTTGGCAATGCTAATAGAGTAAGCATGGGCGTCTCCAACCCTGGTCTTGGAGAGACCCAATCCAATCTGTCTTCCAGTTGACCTGTTTCTGAAGATAAAAATAATCTAATACAGGCAACACCTGCATGTTATTGATTAATTAAAGAAGTAATCTTTCAGTTAACACAGATCCACTCTTTCAGTGCTCAAATGTCTTCATATTCAATTTAATGGTGAACTGTTAAGCCTAGTAGACTGGGACTTTCCTGGAACAGGGATGGAGTCCATTGGAACAAATGGCCAGCTGTGCATACCTTGAAGATGGAGTTCAAAAAGATCTCTGCAAGAGACTGTGGAACTGCTAGATGGCTGTCATCTGAGCTGATCTTAAATGTTGTCTCCAGACACTGTATTGCAACTTAAAGAAAATACAAACAAAATATGAACTCCAATGAGTACTATCTAATAATTAACTCAATCAAGTGCTGTTCATCAAAATTACAGTGAGAAAAATGTAATGGGAAAATAACAGGGAATTGCATCTTAAGACTATACCTCTTTGAATCCATGGGCTTCTTTTAAGAAATCTTCAACTTATTTAGCACACATGAATTAGTAATTAAAAACTAGTTGTGAACATTCTTTCCAGGACTGAATACAAGTTTTATTAATATACAAGCTTTTTGTTCCTGATTCTTTTTTATCTCTGGTCTTATTACAGCTAAAATGTTTCTTCCAATATAAACCACTTTCAAAAACAATTTATTGCAGAAATACCTTCCAGTTTCGTAAATGCGCCCTTTCAGTCACTCTGTTCTTTTTAAATTTGATTTTAAATACGCAGGATGTCCAAAACGTAAAGTGAACAGGGTACACATAAAAAAAAAAATATTACCTTCAAGGCTTTCTTGTTCATCGGAGTTCAAAGTATCCGAGTGTGTCTGATCACGGAGGAACTGCACAATCGAAAAAGCCAGGCGCTTCTCCACTGACATCCTGTTTGCTTGCCCACGTCACCTGTGTTTTAATTAGGACCAGATGAAATGCATAAATAAAACAATATTCCTAACCCTATTAGTAGCGGTTCTACTAATTAGTTAATACTATTTAGTTAAATTATTCAGTATTTAATCCTCATTATAAGGAAAAATGAAGGCAGCATGGTGGCGCAGTGGTTAATATTGCTGCCTTGCAGTGTTGACGTTTTTGGTTCAATTTTGGACCTGGGGTGCTATCTGTGAGGAGTCTGCATGTTCTCTCCATGTTCGCAGGACTTTCCGGCTGCATTCCAAGGACATACTGGTACAATAATTGTCTTTTGTGAAAACTGGCCCTGGTCTGTGTGTCTGTGTGTGTCTGTGTGTGTCTGTGTGTGCCCTGGCATCCTGTCCAGTCTTGAACCAGTCGCTTCAAAGGATAGACTCCAGCTTCCCCATAACCCTGAATTGAATAAAGCAGTTTGAAAATGGATGCATCAAGGAAAAAACAAGTAGGAATTAGCGTTAGCAAGTCCCTGCTAAATGGAACTCATGACATTTCATCACTAAGATTACTTGACAATGTTTTGTGCACCATTTGTCCTCTGCATTATCCACACGGACATAGAAAATATAGGTATGTGTGTGACACAGTTGGTGGGTTGTATTGACTATGAGTCTTTTGTCTGAAAACTGTTTAATAGGAGAAATAAATTGCAGATAAGGGATGAATACTCAAGACTCCATTAATTAGTGGAGTACTGTAGGTTCTGCATTATGACAACTGCTTTCTAATTTATATCAATCATCTAGATTCATGTATATGTAGTAAACTAGTCAAGTTAACAGATCATACCAAAACAAGTGGATTAGCAGAAACCTTTGTCAAAGTCCTTCTTTTGGAACTGTTACAGTTTTTAGTAATCTTCCTAGTTGGGTATAATCTCTGAAGCTTGCTATCTACACCAGAATCAGATCATAGATATCATTTAGAAAGAGCCCTCGACCTAACACAGGTCCTTAAAATACTTCACTGAACATGTCACCCCAATTTGAGCATTATCCCCTTTCCTGTTCCCCTATTTCCTACTATCCAATTCCTATTCCAAGTAAGTTTATTACCTCAGTACCTAGCACCTGCAGTTTGAAACGTTATCAAAAGTCTTCCAAAGACAAAAAATATACAACTTAATATGCCAATCCCAGCAGGCAACGGGCACAAGGTAGGATGCACCCCAGACCAGATGCCAGTTCATCACAGGGCACACATAGATACACACATTTTCTGAGAAACCAATTAACCTACAAGTATGTGTTTGGACTGAGGGAGGACACCAAAGAACTCTGAAGAACCCTATGCAAATGCAGGGAGAACATGCAAACTCCACACAGGCAGCACCCCAGGAATTTCATTCAGGGCCCCAGAGCTACGAGGCAGCAATTCTAACCCCTGTGCTGCTGTGTCACCACAGAATTAAGACTAACTGGACAACAATTATTATAGGTTCAGTA